TTTAAACAATAAACTAACAAGAAAACAGAACAATTTTGTTTTGAAAACCTCTCTAAATAAATAGCAAACCAAGAAGAGCAAATGTGAACTAACAGAACAATTTTGTTTTGAAAACCTCTCTAAATAAATAGCAAACCAAGAAGAGCAAATGTGAACTAACAGAACAATTTTGTTTTGAAAACCTCTCTAAATAAATAGCAAACCAAGAAGAGCAAATGTGAACTAACAAAGTCAAATCACCAGTATGCTGTACATTTATTTGACTAATGTTGAAATGCGGCACAGGATGTCTATCAACAATCTGCTATAAAGCCAACACAACCAATCAGCAAGAACATTCTATGTGCGACTACTAGTGTGTTGCCCAGTCTGTGACAGTAATGCAAGAACATTTTATGTGTGACTTCTAGTGTGTTGCCCAGTCTGTGACAGTAATGCAAGAACATTTTATGTGCGACTTCTAGTGTGTTGCCAGTCTGTGAGAGTAATGCAAGAACATTTTATGTGCGACTTCTAGTGTGTTGCCAGTCTGTGAGAGTAATGCAAGAACATTTTATGTGTGACTTCTAGTGTGTTGCCCAGTCTGTGACAGTAATGCAAGAACATTTTATGTGTGACTTCTAGTGTGTTGCCAGTCTGTGAGAGTAATGCAAGAACATTCTATGTGCGACTACTAGTGTGTTGCCCAGTCTGTGACAGTAATGCAAGAACATTTTATGTGTGACTTCTAGTGTGTTGCCCAGTCTGTGACAGTAATGCAAGAACATTTTATGTGCAACTTCTAGTGTGTTGCCCAGTCTGTGACAGTAATACAAGAACATTTTATGTGCGACTTCTAGTGTGTTGCCAGTCTGTGAGAGTAATGCAAGAACCTTTTATGTACAACTTCTAGTGTGTTGCCCAGTCTGTGACAGTGTTGCAAGAACATTTTATGTGCAACTTCTAGTGTGTTGCCCAGTCTGTGACAGTAATGCAAGAACATTTTATGTGTGACTTCTAGTGTGTTGCCCAGTCTGTGACAGTGTTGCAAGAACATTTTATGTGCAACTTCTAGTGTGTTGCCCAGTCTGTGACAGTGTTGCAAGAACATTTTATGTGCGACTACTAGTGTGTTGCCCAGTCTGTGACAGTAATGCAAGAACATTTTATGTGTGACTTCTAGTGTGTTGCCCAGTCTGTGACAGTGTTGCAAGAACATTTTATGTGTGACTTCTAGTGTGTTGCCCAGTCTGTGACAGTGTTGCAAGAACATTTTATGTGCGACTACTAGTGTGTTGCCCAGTCTGTGACAGTGTTGCAAGAACATTTTATGTGTGACTTCTAGTGTGTTGCCCAGTCTGTGACAGTGTTGCAAGAACATTTTATGTGTGACTTCTAGTGTGTTGCCCAGTCTGTGACAGTGTTGCAAGAACATTTTATGTGCGACTACTAGTGTGTTGCCCAGTCTGTGACAGTAATGCAAGAACATTTTATGTGCGACTACTAGTGTGTTGCCCAGTCTGTGACAGTAATGCAAGAACATTTTATGTGCGACTAATAGTGTGTTGCCCAGTCTGTGACAGTAATACAAGAACCTTTTATGTGCGACTACTAGTGTGTTGCAGCTTAAGCTGCTCTAAGAGACATTCCTTGGTACTTTAAAAAACATTTTATATATTTACACTGTGTTTGTAAACAAATATTTCAAAGTTTTTCTTACTAACTTGCTTCATGTTCAAATTTCCCAACTTCAAGTTTATTTGTAGATTATTTGCTACTGTAACTCAGAGTAATAATTTCTAGATTTGGATGCATAAACTAAATGTCTACCATGTTTTAAGGAAAAACAAAGCCATTTTCTGCCGTTCATCTTTATCACTTTATACGCAGGAAAAGCCATTTTCTGCCGTTCATCTTTATCACTTTATACACAGGAATAGCAATGTTCGCACACGGATGTCCATGTTCGCGCGCACAAATGTGCAAGCATACACACACAGATAAACAAATATGGTGAAGTAAAGCATCCGCCACAACTAACACTCAATATATCGGAAGTTAGATCAGTTCCTTAATCTAAACTTTAAATAGGGAACTTTAGATAATGAACAGATTTAAAACCAATGTAATATGTGGATTGTTCATCATTTCAGTACTGAAATATTTAGTTATAATACAATGATAAATAATAAGTGAACATCAATGACAAGCTGATGCAAATTTAAAGAAAACTTGGATTTTGAAGCTTACAAGTTCAAATACTTTTATCTGGCCTTAAGGGATTTCCCAACATGCTGAATTTATATATTAGTCAAGGCTTATCAAGCAATTTCATAATCACCTGTCATGTCAGCTGAAGCAAGCCCTGACTGCACCAGTTATCTTTTAAATTTTATTTCCAAATGTCATTTACACATTCTGGCTACCAATTTCTGTCACTTCAGTTCAAATTATTATCATTACGCAGCAAATACATTCACAGTGATGCTATCACACCCAAAGGTTATTTCAAATGTGACCGCAGCCTTTTCTTCAAAAATCATACCATTACATCTTTCATGACACACACCCCCCCCCCCCCCCCCATTCCATTAAGTTGTAGTTTTCCCAGCTGACACTCAAACATGTTCATTCACCATAAAGCATCTGTGCTTACAATAAAACAGTACATATGCTATAGCAATAATAATTTATAGGGAAACATAGCCCATGGCAGATGCAATAATTGCTGCTAAAAATAAAAACAATGGTGATGGCCACAGGTACTCATGTGAAAATACAGTGAAAAACTTACATAGCAACAAAAGTAATCAAGGGATGTACTTCTTCACTTTTGGTGTCGAGGGACAAATAAGATTCTGCATTTTACCCTCTGGCGACCTAGGTCATAGACGTATCATGCTGTTATAGTTTGATGTTAACATTCCATGTTGTTCTTGGTCTACCATGTACTCTACATCTGTCTATTTTGGTGCATGCTCTTGCATGGTATGGCATCACAAGATATCCTAATGGGCAAACCATTTGATTAGCTGTGTTTTATGTAATTTAGAATTGGTTCTAGGCTAATTTTTTGTCTCTTATGACCTTTTTCCTGATTTGATCTCTTCTGGTCACCCATGCATCCCTCATTTTCATGGCTACTAATTTTCTTTTTAAGTGATGTACGAGCCCAGAAAACCAGATGAAACTATGATAAAATCAATCAAGTGATTTAAAATGACTTCAAAAACCAGATGATACAATGATAGCACATAGTCAAGTAATGTACAATGACTGAAGAGTCTGACAAATTTTCAAACAATGTGGACGTGAAGGATGCTCTATGCAGCAGAAATGTCATGTTTAAACCTCATAGGTTCTCTCTGGATCTTGGGTTGGAGCTAATAAAAGGCCTAAAACTTACAGAAGAAACAGGACCGACCTAATGCAATGCTGACCAGTCCATGTGTGGAGGAAACATGACCAATCTAATTCAAATGCTGACCAGTCCCTGTGTAGAGGAAACATGACCAAACTAATTCAAATGACAACCAGTCCATGTGTGGAGGAAACATGACCCAACTAATTCAAATGACAACCAGTCCATGTGTGGAGGAAACATGACCCAACTAATTCAAATGACAATCAGTCCATGTGTGGAGAAATAATGACCAAACTAATTCAAATGCCAACCAGTCCCTGTGTGCTGTGCCAATCCTGTTCTAGTCATATCCTAATCCAGAGGTTTTGTGCACCCCCATTTCTAAACTTGAATGGAAGGACAGTCCAAAGGGAAGTGGTAACCAACAGTGGGTATTTGTACCAAGCTCACCCTGACATGGCTGACATGACCTGATAACCACGAAACGAGACAGATAAAGTTCAAACAGGGAAATTCATCAAACAGCCATACTGTCTCACAGATGAAGACCCACAATCACGCAAATGTAGTCTGCATGACAAGCTAAAAGCATTACAATAAATGTACCACCACACACATACCTCATTAAAATAAAAAATAAAAACTTAAGAAATGGAGAGAAAAGAGAACTTTTGGAGAATCTTCCAGTATGAACAAATAAAGTGGTTTTAATAACACAAAAGTCTAAACATGTGTGTTAACTTGAAAGCATTTTTATTTATTATCTTAACACATGTTGAAATGTACAAACATCATTTGCTAAAACATGAACAGAATATACACTTTGTACACTTATTTTACATCTTTATATTAGAGGGGGGAAAGTCTGCGTACAGTTGGCGTAAGAATTTTCTAATGCTGTTTGAGAAAAACATGTTCTCCGGATTCCTGCACAGAACACTTCCTCTGAGTCTACAGCCAATAAAATACATCGCATACCATTATCACAACACAGCCATCATGGCAATTCAACTTCAAAAGTTCAACTTTAATGTGGAACACTGGACAATGAAACAGATGGCCGGCAATCAGGGAGCCATGTTAGTGGTTGTTCAGTGTATGCTAGCAAGTGCCTAGGTACATGTCTTCACACACAAAAAAACATATGCATACCTTACAAATTTGTCACTCACATTTTTGAAACATTTAAACTGCTCAATCTCTAATCTCAGTCTCTATACAGAGAAGAAAAGAACTACAATGAAGTAGGCTACACCTCAATATGTACAGGGAGGTCTCACACTACACAGGATTTTACCTTAAAGACAAGACATCCCTGTTGCAGTTTTCACAATCAATGTTCACAAAAGGGAGCCAAAATAGAATCCTAAAACGTAAATTTCCTAATATTGCATGCATAATGGAGTACGACTTAAGGGGCAGCGGTTGTATTTTGAAACTGTTTCTAACTGCAACACAAACATCTTGCTCAAAGACAAAAGAGGCAGGGCCGAAAGGTCAAACTGAATTCTAAAGCAACTAGATCTTACATCCTCTAAATGAGAATTATCTGAAGCATTTCTCAGCACATCGGACAATTACAGACGTGAAATTGTCCAGACTAGCAGCTTGAGCCAAGGAGGCTTGTTTTTTGTCCAGAATGTTCATGGGCCCATGATCAGTCTTGCATATCTTCTGGCACTTCGTGGGGTCCGACAATGCCAGGTACAGCCAGCTGTTGTTTGCGTTTTTCGTCCTGGGCCTGCCTGATGGCATTCTCCCTTTCCTCCAAGAATAAATCATCTAGATCTTCTCCAGCAAACTCCTAAAATGAAACAGAAAATGAAACCAATTATTGCGTGGAAAAGAAAATTCAAGTAAATCTGGCAAATGTAAGTTAACTCTGCTGGTACCAAGCGGTTGTTCCCTAACTTATTCTTTCTTTATCGCTAAACCTGCTGTAAACTCTGCATAAAGTTCTGGATGTTTATCCACTTGTACTGTTCTATAACGTAAGTATTGCATGCACAACCATTTTACAAATTTGATTTATTTGTATGCAGATTGCTGGTTCCTCACCTCTCAGGCAGATGCATTCAGGCTTTAGAGGAAGCCCCAATTAGTTGACTCTTACGAATTGCTTGTTGGAATGGCAGTGGGTCTATTTTGTTTCTCCCACAATGAGAACCCCCGGAAACCCACAAAAGAATAACTCATTCTGCTCTAATCAATTAAATGTTACTTTATCTAATTAATAAACATTTGGGTTCAAGAAGTCGAAATAATAACACTCTGCAACAGACAAGACAAAGTTATTGTTTTCCTTTCTTGATATCTTTCCTCCCAGACAATTATTTAAAACAAGAGTGGTTGTCCACTGCACATGTGTCAAGGGTGGTTGTCCACTGCACATGTGTCAAGGGTGGTTGTCCACTGCACATGTGTCAAGGGTGGTTGTCCACTGCACATGTCATGTGTCAAAGGTGGTTGTCCACTGCATATGTGTCAAGAGTGGTTGCCCACTGCACATGTGTCAAGGGTGGTTGTCTACTGCACATGTGTCAAGGGTGGTTGTCCACTGCACATGTGTCAAGGGTGGTTGCCCACTGCACATGTGTCAAGAGTGGTTGTCCACTGCACATGTGTCAAGGGTGGTTGTCCACTGCACATGTCATGGGTGGTTGTCCACTGAACATGTGTCAAGGGTGGTTGTCCACTGCACATGTGTCAAGGGTGGTTGTCCACTGCACATGTGTCAAGGGTGGTTGTCCATTGCACATGTCATGTGTCAAGGGTGGTTGTCCGCTGCACATGTGTCAAGAGTGGTTGTCCACTGCACGTGTCAAGGGTGGTTGTCCACTGCACATTTGTCAAGGGTGGTTGTCCACTGCACATGTGTCAAGGGTGGTTGTCCACTGCACATGTGTCAAGGGTGGTTGTCCACTGCACATGTCATGTGTCAAGGGTGGTTGTCCACTGCACATGTGTCAAGGGTGGTTGTCCATTGCACGTGTCAAGGGTGGTTGTCCACTGAACATGTGTCAAGGGTGGTTGTCCTCTGCACATGTGTCAAGAGTGGTTGTCCGCTGCACATGTCAAGAGTGGTTGTCCAATGCACGTGTGTCAAGGGTGGTGTGTCAAGAGTGGTTGTCCACTGCACATGTGTCAAGGGTGGTTGTCCACTGCACATGTGTCAAGGTGGTTGTCCACTGCACATGTGTCAAGGGTGGTTGTCCACTGCACATGTGTCAAGGGTGGTTGTCCACTGCACATGTGTCAAGTGTCAAGGTGGTTGTCCACTGCACATGTGTCAAGGGTGGTTGTCCACTGCACATGTGTCAAGGGTGGTTGTCCACTGCACATGTGTCAAGGGTGGTTGTCCACTGCACATGTGTCAAGGGTGGTTGTCCACTGCACATGTGTCAAGGGTGGTTGTCCACTGCACATGTGTCAAGAGTGGTTGTCCACTGCACATGTGTCAAGAGTGGTTGTCCACTGCACATGTGTCAAGGGTGGTTGTCCACTGCACATGTGTCAAGAGTGGTTGTCCACTGCACATGTGTCAAGGGTGGTTGTCCACTGCACATGTCATGTGTCAAGGGTGGTTGTCCACTGCACATGTGTCAAGGGTGGTTGTCCACTGCACATGTGTCAAGGGTGGTTGTCCACTGCACATGTGTCAAGGGTGGTTGTCCACTGCACATGTGTCAAGGGTGGTTGTCCACATGCACAGAGTGTGTGTGGGTGGCTGTCCATGCACATGTGTCAAGGAGTGGTTGTCCAATGCACATGTGTCAAGAGTGGTTGTCCACTGCACATGTGTCAAGAGTGGTTGTCCACTGCACATGTCATGTGTCAAGGGTGGTTGTCCACTGCACATGTCATGGGTGGTTGTCCACTGAACATGTGTCAAGGGTGGTTGTCCACTGCACATGTGTCAAGGGTGGTTGTCCACTGCACATGTGTCAAGGGTGGTTGTCCATTGCACATGTCATGTGTCAAGGGTGGTTGTCAAGTGTGGATTGGTTGTCCACTGCACGTGTCAAGGGTGGTTGTCAACTGCACATTTGGTGGGTGGTTGTCCACTGCACATGTGTCAAGGGTGGTTGTCCACTGCACATGTGTCAAGGGTGGTTGTCCACTGCACATGTCATGTGTCAAGGGTGGTTGTCCACTGCACATGTGTCAAGGGTGGTTGTCCATTGCACGTGTCAAGGGTGGTTGTCCACTGAACATGTGTCAAGGGTGGTTGTCCTCTGCACATGTGTCAAGAGTGGTTGTCCGCTGCACATGTCAAGAGTGGTTGTCCAATGCACGTGTCAAGAGTGGTTGTCCAATGCACGTGTCAAGGGTGGTTGTCCACTGCACATGTGTCAAGGTTGGTTGTCCACTGCACATGTGTCAAGGGTGGTTGTCCACTGCACATGTGTCAAGGGTGGTTGTCCACTGCACATGTGTCAAGGATGGTTGTCCACTGCACATGTGTCAAGGGTGGTTGTCCACTGCACATGTGTCAAGGGTGGTTGTCCACTGCACATGTGTCAAGGGTGGTTGTCCACTGCAAATGTGTCAAGGGTTGTTGTCCACTGCACATGTGTCAAGAGTGGTTGTCCACTGCAGATGTGTCTAAGGTGGTTGTCCACTGCACATGTGTCAAGGGTGGTTGCCCACTGCACATGTGTCAAGAGTGGTTGTCCACTGCACATGTGTTAACATGAACAGACCTATTGCCTTTCCAACAAGCATCTAAGTACATCTGACAGAGGTAAGGAACCACAAGACTGCATACAAATAAACCAGATCTGTGAAACGGATGTGCACGCAATACTCAGGTTCTGCAGCAAGACTAAAGCCCTCAGGTGGACGAACACGCAAAACTTTCTGCCAAAGTTTACAGCTGGTGACCGCGAAGAAGAGAAGAAAAACAAGTCAGGAAAATATCTGACCACTCAAGACAATTACACCCACACCAGCCTTTGCACAAAGCCATAATAATTCCTATGCCAAGGTGGCCTTTTTAAGTCTTTAACCGTGATCACAAAAGTGCGCTAATTCACCTTTCTACGAAGAGAGCAAGAATTTATAAAAAAAACATTCTTTTTTTTTCGCTTTAAAGCCACATTAAAATATTGGCATACGTGTGGGCTCCAAGGTCCCATTTTTAAGGGAACATGAACAGACCTATTGGCTCCCTTACAAGCATGTAGTACAAGGTGGCTAATTATAAAGGTCTGCAGAAACCAGACATGTTACGTCAAAAGGTTCAATCAAACATTGCAGGCTAGCTGTAAACTACAACATAAAATGCAAACCGACCCTTTAAGGATGACACCGAAAAAAAAAAACATGTTTTTTTTAATGAAGAAAATAATTAAAACTTTTATGGTCTCCTGTTTGCAAGTAAACTGAACCTCCAAGTGGTGGAGTAGTAGTAGACAGTGCTCTAGGGTCAGGGATATCAACCAGAATGAGTGAACAATTCTGCAAGAGAGCAGGGCAAGGAACTATCCAGCAGGTCCTCCAAGTGGTGGAGTAGTAGTAGACAGTGCTCTAGGGTCAGGGATATCAACCAGAATGAGTGGACAATTCTGCAAGAGAGCAGGGCAAGGAACTATCCAGCAGGTCCTCCAAGTGGTGGAGTAGTAGTAGACAGTGCTCTAGGGTCAGGGATATCAACAAGAATGAGTGGACAATTCTGCAAGAGAGCAGGGCAAGGAACTATCCAGCAGGTCCTCCAAGTGGTGGAGTAGTAGTAGACAGTGCTCTAGGGTCAGGGATATCAACCAGAATGAGTGGACAATTCTGCAAGAGAGCAGGGCAAGGAATTATCCAGCAGGTCCTCCAAGTGGTGGAGTAGTAGTAGACAGTGCTCTAGGGTCAGGGATATCAACCAGAATGAGTGGACAATTCTGCAAGAGAGCAGGGCAAGGAACTATCCAGCAGGTCCTCCAAGTGGTGGAGTAGTAGAAGACAGTGCTCTAGGGTCAGGGATATCAACCAGAATGAGTGGACAATTCTGCAAGAGAGCAGGGCAAGGAACTATCCAGCAGGTCCTCCAAGTGGTGGAGTAGTAGTAGACAGTGCTCTAGGGTCAGGGATTTCAACCAGAATGAGTGGACAATTCTGCAAGAGAGCAGGGCAAGGAACTTTCCAGCAGGTCCTCTAAGTGGTGGAGTAGTAGTAGACAGTGCTCTAGGGTCAGGGATATCAACCAGAATGAGTGGACAATTCTGCAAGAGAGCAGGGCAAGGAACTTTCCAGCAGGTCCTCCAAGTCAGAAAGTAAAAGAGGAAACACTACATCCCCTCAAGATGATGATGTTCAAAAAACAAAAATACTTACTCTAATTTGCACCAAAAAGTCTCTTATATGTTCTTTGAGTGCATTGCAATCTTGATCAAAGCTGAAGAGACCCTGAACAAAGATCTTGATCTGTTGCCTAGGAGAAAATAAATGATGTTAATTTATCATGAAATAAATTAATAACCTTATTTGTAGAAAAATACAAATTTAGTTAATTCTGCCCCCCACCATATTTTATACCATTAGGCAAAATTAACGAACATAATAAACACAATAAAAAATTCTTTTGTGGCATAAACTGCTAGAAATCCTATTTAAAAACTTCAAATGTCACTAACATCATTACCCCAAGATTCTCAGAAAAGACCTTACTAAAGAAAAATGCATTCACTACACTAAGAAACTTTTTTAAAAATTATTTATACACCTATATTTTAAAAAATACATTATGTTAGAGGGATGGGGAGGAGTGGGGCAATAGACATAAAAGAGAGAAATAAGTAAATGACTAAAGATGTAAAGATATCTAACGTCAAAAACTGACCCGGCGATAAATACAAACTTATCAACATGTGGTGCCGTGCTAACTAACATATGCAGTCATGCTTCTCAACAACTCCGATCACCAAACATTTATATCATGTGCTGACATCTCTCTAGCCCTGACAACAAAATTTCAAGTATCTTCTCACATTATCTTACTCTGTCTTTCTCTCTCTCCATAAATCTTTCCAGCTGCCACGACATGTTCCAGTGTAATATAAAAGATCAAGTGTTTGCAAACTTCCTCAACCCACTGTTGGTAGTAAACATGATAACATTGACTGCAGGATGCCACAGAACTTGTTAGCATGTATAAACTAACAAATACACACAGGTGACTGGTCCTAGATTGGTTAAAAAGTAATTAAATGATCTTTTTCATTCACTTACTCATTGAGATGTGGAAATGCTGTCTTCAGAAGTGACAGCAAGAACTCTTGAACAAAGACAGCGTTCTGCATGGCAGGAATGCTGGGGTTGAGTGACACTGTGATCTTGCCGTGTTCCAGAAGATTAAACATGTATGCTAGAATGGTGGCTTGCATTGTCAACCCTGAGGTACGGAGAACAATAACAATCAGCATCAATAAGAAAACACATTACTGTCACGTTACAGGACATTTCACATCCGTTACTAATGTGATGAAATACTGAATGATGCATTATGTCAAGGATCCTTTCAATGCCAGTGCAGCACCTGGCATATAATGCTAGAATATGTTTTATAGACCGTATCTATGTGGGGAAAATCTGAACACAAGATCAGGTCAGCAGATGGCCATTCAAGCTGCTATGCTGTCATGATTTCCCAATGCATTAAGACTTCCTAATTGATTCCTAATGCATACTACAGTGATCAGTGATTGCCACTACTGTAAAATGTCAGTCAACGAGGAAACTAAACTCATAAAATGTAAAACGACATACTGGGTACTGCTGAAGGACACACTGTGTGCTATATGTTGAGTGAAATTACCATCTGAGGACCGGTTCTCAGCAGTAGCTTAAATTAACTGCTATTGAATCTACACCCCCCCCCCCCCCCTCTCCCATTACAGTTAAATGGCGACTAATTAAGGAGCGTTCGAAATCATGGAGCCGAAAGGAGAAATATCACAGTCTAGCTGCACACCACATTAAAGCATGCCAACCACCCTTTAAGGGTGAATGTAGAATACTCTGATCCCAGCAGTAGGCTGAAAGACATTTCAACAAATAAGAACCTACCTGCCGTATGAGAACTGTCTGTGACAACAGAGAACAAATGCTGAAGTATGTCAGTCAGGTATGTTTGGTAAAAGCCCTGGGCTGTCCCTTCCTCTCGAGAAATGTTCTGCAGCAGGACGTACAAGATCTCCAGGCCGGTGTCCGCTACGTTTCTCATAGTGTGTTTGAATGCCCAGATAATTGAATCCAGCACCAGCTTGAACTGGGCAGGGGGGATGTTTAGCAAAGCTATAGGCAGAAAAGAAAAACCCAGTCATTTAAGTATCATGATACACGCACAGGGAATGCCCTATAAGACATTGCCACAATGATTTACAACATGCTAGATCAAAAGTTTGTGATCAGTACCCAAGAATTCTCTCTTATAAATGCACATCCGTACATACAAGCAGATATTTATTTTGATAGATCTACATTGGTCTTTGGCAGTTTAAAAGCGAGCAGCAAGAAAAGTGAACATCCAATAATAGGCTGTGATCCCCAATCAGTCAAGTGGCAAATATCTCCAAATATTACAAATTAAAAAACAAGTCATGTGAAAGAGCCAATTTAATCCGCTAATTATATACAGTTTATTGCAAGACTCCAACAACCAATGACATTTGATACATTTTAGAAAGAAAAAAACCCCAGACTGAAAAATAAGCAAGCCTCCTAGAAAAAGTGAGACACATAACAGGAGTTTTTGGCATGTTTTAAATTAAGAAAAAAAAACCATGACACTGAGTTAGAAGATGAAGTTACGATAGCATCACCAAGTCTGTATATAGTTTGAGTGAAGATAAAGTTAGCGATGCAGAAAAACTGAAGATACTAAATCTAGCGTGTGGCAAAAAGAAATGATCAAGAACTTCTTCGCCTTCGTATGCTTAGGTCACATCGCCATACGGGCTACCTTTAAAAGCTGGCATGACAGCTACAGGTCCTCAATGTTTCCCTACAGCTCACTCTGCAGACTTTGCTCTTGAGATCAGCAATCTTTTCATAGTTGTAGAGTGGGCAGGCCTGCAGAATGTGCTCAGGTTGTTGTCCCGTCTGACGTGCACATTGAGGGGACTGTACAGTCATTATTTTATGCATGTGGTAGTTCCGCCTCCAGTGTCCTGTTCCCAAATGGAAAATTGCTGTATGCCGCCCTCCGCTGAGTTCGCAGATAAGGCCCCATGGATACTGTTCATCTGTTCTCTCCCTAATCCCTTGTATTTTCTTTTGACAAGTTTTTTTTAATTTCTGGTAAGGACAATTAATGGGTGTGTTATTTCTCCGTTGTTCCATTTTTTGCCAGCCTGTCTGCCAGCTTATTTCCTGGTATGCCACAGCAAGCTGGAATACACTGGAAAACAATTTTACTGTTTACTGAGAGTTTGTTTAGCTGGCGAGTCAATTCTCTCTCCATGTTGTCTTGTTGATTCCTATGAGTCACCTGGGGGACTGACATGCAGTCACAAAGGAGAACAATTTTGGTGTTTTTGATTTGTCTGTCCTCAAGCACTTTGGGTGCATCAATAATTGCTTGCTGCTCTGCTCTGTAGTCTGTTGAAAGATTCTCAAAGGCACATAACAATTCCACTGTAGTCCCATCTTGCAGCATGACTGAAACAGCTCCTCTTTCTGCTGCTCCCACCAATGTTCCATCGGTGTATACATGTGTGATCAAGAGATTAATGGAGCTGAAAAGAACACTCAGATATTAATTAAGAAGAGGTAACAGAAGACAAATCAACCTCACAATGCTTTCCGGTCATGAAGCAGAACAGAACAATGAATATTTTATTTGCTTAAGAATTTATCAGCACTGACCTTGGAAACTGTGCTGTGTGACTGCTTGCAACAATAAGAAAAAGTTTGTTCTGTGCTCAGGGTATTCTTCAAAGTCCTGATTGTTGACAAGATACAAAAAAAAATATAAGTTAATTATACAATCATGAATTCAAAACATGCAACTGTGTATCCTCTATTGAACAGCTATTCAAACAAGTTCACCTTGGGCCAACAAATTACGAACTAGGGACTGTCATGGACCAGAGTTCCAGCAATTAAAAATAATACAACAGCCAATGATCTGCAAGTCACCTGTCAGGCCTCAGTGGGCAGCCAGGATGTTGCAGAACCAACCCCAGCATGTTGTGGCTGTTTAGCTTTGCTAGGTAGTTTTACATTCAGCAGTCTTGTCATTTCTGAATGGACGAGGCTCCACACCAGTGTCGAGATCAACAAGGCAGCTGGAATCCAACCAGGTATTTTGGAATTACAATGCGTGTTTGCAATGCCAAGCCACAGGTGCCAGCATAACAACTAAATGATAAGTTAATTATCTTCTCTTTCTGAATAATTAATCAATCAAAAGTGTGAAACATTGGTAAGAGTGTGGGGAAACCAACCTTGTTGATCATAGTTAGTGTACATTCAAAGACTGCATCAAAAATCTGTGGGATATCTTTGGTGATGTAAGACTGAAACAAAGAAAAACTACATGTGGATTAATGAGATTACATGTGAATGAAAGCAGAAGTTACAAATATCATTAAGCAAGAAGGGATGTGAAACCTAGCTCTATTGCAGTTGATGGATGTCAAATGCTATTCTGCTGAGAGACCAAACCATTACTTTACAAAATGCGGTGCAATAAAGTTGATCCTCTCACTTTAAAACCACAAAATAGGATTTTCATGTAATAAAATTGGTGTTGACAAATCCATCTAGGTTAACCCAGCCTACACTGGGTGCCAGGTGATGTCCTAGAAACAAAAGGTGCTCTGCATGTTCAACTACCAAAGTAAAGGTCACGCAATTTATGCCCCGATGCGCTACACATGGGTAAAGGGTCATTAACTAACTTACCACTTACATTACTTATATAAAAGTAACAGGCATGGTTGATTAAGTTAGGTGTTCCATTTCTCCACACATACAACACCACAAGATAGCAGTAGCATCTCAAAATGTTTATTGTGAATGAGATATACTTTTTTTTTAAAAAAAATTATTAATTATTAACAAACCAACCCACACACAAAAAAAAACTGCTATGTTTTAATCATTAAATGACAGGCAACTATAAATATTTTAATGATTTACTGAAATATGGTTGTAAATGTGTCCACCATTATTTGAGATAATACATTTACAAAAAAGCCTCAAGGAAAAAATAGCGAACCTTGAGACTATTTACAATGGTTGCCATCGTGCTGAGGACTTCTGGTTCCCTTGCTGCAGGGACATTGCGTTGATAGTCTAATAACACAGCTTCCAGAAGTGGCAGGATGAAGTTATCGGCAACCTACAAACATATTGCAAATACAAGCATAAATTATAAATATATATAACACATAAATTCACAGATCATTCTTGCCAAAAAAAAAGTATTGACAGTTCATGTTTTGAAAGAAATGCTCTAAATGATACCAATGTATATGAACAAATAAGTGAATTCAGCTTTGCAGCCTTAAGTTAGGCATCTTCTTCTTCTCTATTACCATTCATTTACCTCAGTGACGTGTGTTTTGTGTGTGTGTGTGTGTGTTTTGTGTGTGTGTTTTGTGTGTGTTGTGTGTGTGTTTTGTGTGTGTGTTTTGTGTGTGTTGTGTGTGTGTTTTGTGTGTTTTGTGTGTGTGTGTGTGTGTGGGTGGGGGGGGGTGTAAGTATAATTTGTGTAAGCTGGTGTTCATTTCTGTTAGGTTGCTCTTGATAGTGTCTTCCCCTTTGGTACCAGGGCATTCTCCTCAGGTGGACAAACCTATCTCATTTACTGTTCTTTAACTCTTTTCGGACGTTTAGCCAGTATACTGGCGCTTAAAACTATCCCTTAAAGACGTAAAGCTAGTTTACTGGCTCATGATAGAGACACTCTAATTTTGTTCCGTTTGTAGAGTAAACGAACTTTTATGAACAAGTTTTTTAACAATTAGGATTAACAACAGGATGTACTTTCATTTGCGATGTTCATCGAGGTCGGTGCATTATTTTGTGATTTTAAAAAATTTATTTAGATGTGATACAATTTTTACGTGATTTTTCTATACTAAATGATAAGGGAAAACATCCAGAACTGTTCATACTGCTCTATCGTTGATGAATCCCTCCCAGATGATGACAACAGTCTTGATATTATGATTGATATCTAAGGGACACATCTACTAGCGATAAGACGTGAAGCTAGTTTACTGGCTCATGATAGAGACACTCTAATTTTGTTCCATTTGTAGAGTAAACGAACTTTTATGAACAAGTTTTTTAACAATTAGGATTAACAACAGGATGTACTTTCATTTGCGATGTTCATCGAGGTCGGTGCATTATTTTGTGATTTTAAAAAATTTATTTAGATGTGATACAATTTTTACGTGATTTTTCTATACTAAATGATAAGGGAAAACATCCAGAACTGTTCATACTGCTCTATCGTTGATGAATCCCTCCCAGATGATGACAACAGTCTTGATATTATGATTGATATCTAAGGGACACATCTACTAGCGATAATTTAGTTTAGGATATGAAAATTTCACAAAATATTTTAATTAGATCAATGTCTCGATCAGCTGTTTTTCCGATTTTCGGTTGTTGTGAAAATTGACATGTCATACAAAAATTATTATAATATCCAAAGTATTTAAATTAATTGTTTCAAATAAAGACTAGCTAATACATAATTGAACAGAGAAGGCATGTGTATTCTTAGAATTGGATAGCAGTGTTGTTGAACCAGTAAAAAAATAAGGTTAGCACACAATTTTTTGTTTAAAATTGTCCTTTGTGTCTAACATCCTTGAATGTTGTGTGATTTTAATAATATTTTGATGTTATACTGACATTTAAGTAGTTTAGATTTATTCTGCGCTCATTTATCTTTAATTTGATATATTATAAGTCCCGATACAGCCCATACTTTTTCTTCAGGAAGGTTTTAGCTTTGCCGTGTTGCACTTAAAAAATTCCGCTCAAAATTAATGCTGTCCAAACCCCAGAAAAAAAATGCCGTCCTAAAAGAGTTAATGAAATGTATGACTGGTTTCAGTCCTAGTCTTCTAATTTCTTCCTCCTTGATTTTCTCTCTTCTTGTCACACCGGCAGCTCTCCTAAGACATCTCATCTCTGTTGTTACGATCTTCCGCTCATTAGTTGTAGTAAGGGTCCATGTCTGGCACTGGCAGCACAATGTTGGCCAAAAAACAGTTCTTTTGATATTTGCTTTGGTTGACATAGGTATCTTTCTATGCGTCAGAGGCTGCATATGAATAAGTCAGATCTGTAACACAGTTGTTCTGGATTACTCAGGTTCTCAAACATGACTAAGGTGGACAAACAACCTGCTTATTTATCTCGCCACCATCTTCTTGGTCTACCTTCTTGATCAATAAGAATCCACAGAATGTTCTCTGGAGAAATATGCATTATATTTTGAAAGCTTTTTTCATTATATTTAAAAAAAATGACGTATGAATGAATAAGGAATTGACACCCAGCACTCAGAACACTCCCACACATGCTCCGTCTCCTTCAGTAGCCAATTAAGAGTCGAAATGATAACAGTACCTGTTGCAACTTGATTAAAGTCCGCCTATGCTTTCCCCGCAGTGTTGATTATCTTCCAGACTCCCTGCTCACCCCCCTTCCCCCCCCCCCCCCCCCCCCCCCCCCTGGCTGAATGAGCTCTTTCAATGTTTGGATATTTGGTCGGTTCTGTTGCACTGTCCATTTGATCCCAGAAAAACTTCACAACTAATGCTTTTTCTCAACGTAGCTCATCCCCCAGAGTAGCGGCAGCTGCCACTTTATCAGCTCATGCATTACCCCACACAGCCAAACGTCAGACAAAAAATCCATGATGTGACCAAGCCACTCTACACGTAGGATGTCAGTTTATATTTTCTGAAGCATGTTCTGTGAGTCCGTTAAAAGAACTTTTGTGTTGTGTGTTAACAAATTATGTGACTGGTAAATAGGGCAGCTGCTCTGGTGTAGCGGCTAGATGCTGGCATGCCGATCTCTCAGGGAAGTAAAGGTGTCAGATGTAATGCTGACCTCATCACTCACTGAGTGCCAAATGGTCTTGAAAAAATATAGGTCTAGCACTAAATGCCCAATATGCCTAAAGATGGTTTAAAAAAGGGATGTATCTTTTTTTTTTCCCAGCTAGTAAACATTTGTGAAAAGATAACTATACGAGAGCCTACAAAGATCTTACCATCTGAGGATCTGTGGAACGGTTCACCCAGCCTGAGATCAATTTGAGAGTTTCCTTCTTGACTGTCCTCATGGATCGGATCAGGGGCTGTTTGGTGACACTTTCTCCATTGGTGGCTATAGCACTACTGATGTTCTCACTCATCACCTGTGGCAGAGAATGTCAACCAAAACATTACCTGCAGGCTCCTCATAAGTGAAGACAACTTATCACAAATATTGAAGAGGCAGTTGTAAATATGAGAACATAGTCATTTCACTGTTCCTAGAGATAACACTGAAAAACTACTTTGTGGAGTTGCAGAAATGTTTATATTTAAAATGTACAATTCTCAAGCTTTTACCATTGAAAAAAATGTCTGTGGCTATCTGCCCCACCCCCCCAAATTTGTCATCTACAGTCCTCATACATATTCCATGTATTATATTATAGCAGTCCGTAAGTTTAGCCCATAAAAGGCTGTCAAACATGGAGAATAAAATGACTAATAAGACATGAAGATCTGTGATACAATCTCTTCTCACCTTGTAGACATTGAGCATGTCTAGGTAAATGCGCCCCAGCTGTACAACATACGGATGTCCCAAAGCTTTGCAGGCTCTGACATTTGTCTTTAGGATGTTTGCCAGCTGCTGACAGCTTCAGGGTCTTTCAGTACCTGCACATTGTGTGTGGCCTGGTTGATGATTCCATCCCATACCTGAAGACAGAAAGTTGATAAGAGACAAGTTGATTAGCTATAAGAACACACAAGCATAAAATAAGCAAATACATAAGAATAACTCTAACTCTTATGTGGTCAGAACATCCACAATCATCAAAATTTAGATCGTAACAGGCTAGATTCCCAAGATCCAACACGGAGACAAGGAAAGGAAAAGAAAGCAAATGTAATACAGCGGGGAAAAGGTAGCAGGAAGTGGGGTTCAGGCAGCTAGTGGTGGTGTGGGGGGGGGGGGGGGGGGGGGGGGGGGGTTTTCCAAATGTGTTTTTAAAATTATACATATATTTAATATGTATTTGGGAGAGTGGTGGACAGGAATTAAGATTGAAGAATATGCTTATGGTTAGTTCAAACACCCGGGGTGCTAATGAATATTACACATAAAAAGACCCCCCCCCCCCCCCCCCCCCCAAAAAAAAAACAGTCTCATACTGAAACCCCTAACCATAACACAACTTTTCATTTACTGGACACAGTTAACAGGAAAAGACACTGATGGAGCAGCACATTAAGTAAACAAGAAACAATTTTTAGGGGAAAGGGGGAGGGGGGAACAAGAAAGGAGAGAGTAAAAAGGAAAGAAGATTAAGACTGGAGGAGAGAGAGGGAAATGCAGGTGACAGGAAGGAGATCGAGAGAACAGAGTAAGGATAGAGAGGAAGGAGAGAATGAGACAAATGCTGAAGAAAGGAGAAAAGAGGGGCAGAAGAGTGAAAAATCGAAGGAGAAAGATAGTTCTGAGAAGATATTGGGGGTTGCAGGGAGTTGGGGAGATGGACAGAACGCGAAACTTGCCGTAGAATGAGCTATGCCAAAAATAGAATTGGAAAATCCAAGTGACATCACTTTGCCAGAACTACAATCACCTAAATGTTACCGCACAATTCCAGGTACATATGTCTTTCTCAAAGTCAATATGTCTTTTTCAAAGTAGAAAGCAAGGCTTTTAGGTCAGAGTCACAATTTTCAGGTAAAATTTCAGGTAGTCCTTTTCCAGAACCTGATTGCTGCGCGCGCATCTGTTTTGCAGATCTGACTTATTTGTATGCAGACTGTTGGTCCCTTGCCTCTCAGACAAAGGCACTTTGACTTTGAAGGGAGCTCCAAATTAGTTGACTGTCATGACAGCTTTTGGGTAGGCAGAGGGTCTATTCTTGTTTTCCCTACAATAGGGCGCTGGAATCCACAAGGGGAGTTGTTTATTAAAAAAAAAGCTATAAACTTAACACTAATAGTCACAGAATAAAAGCCAAACTCAGCAGACCATCTTACCTGATTTGGGAGAAGCATGTAGCGCTCTATGAGATGTTCCTGTGCCACCTGGTCTACCTGGGCTCCTATCATCAGTCCCACTGCTTCATAGAATGTGTGCACCTGTACATGAATGCATAGAATTTTTAATAAACATCATTTTATTTCACCATTAAATGCAGCAGATTAATCCAGCAAAGTAGGGAAGATTGAACTCTATATCCACCCACCCCCTCTCCCCACCATTTTTTTTTTTGCATTAACATCGTCCACATAAGCTGGGCGGGAAAACATCAAGACATGGACGAACAACAGCCTCAGTGCGTACATCATGGGTGAGAGACAGCATGCTGAAGATCCATTGGAGCAATGCATCCGACTAGTTGATTTCAAATAACCTTAAAGCCAACAGTCACTGTACTTCAGTGGCTACATTTCAAATATAAATTTACCAAATTCACACGTTATTATATCTCTCCAGGGAAGGTTTTTAAAAAATATATATAACCATCATCGTTGTCATCCTGTAACTCTGCGTGTCACTGGGTCACCAGTTGCTGCTGTCTGATCATCTCCCTCCACCTCTGACGGTTAGATGCAATAAACTTCATGGCTGCATGCCCAAGGACTGACCAGTCAGTAAAGTTCTGTTTCCATGTCTTGCCTGATCTGCACATTCTCCTCTACTGAGCCCTTGTAGTATTGTTTTTGAGGCAAATAGATCTTATAACATGTCCATACCATTGCTTTTCCTGTCCTGTATTTTCACTGTAGTTAAAAGAGGTTCATTGTTGCCAAGGCTTTCTAAATAAAAATGTGATGAGAAAAGGAAGCTCACCTGCTGCGGCTGTAGATCACAAATGATGGTGTTGATTCCGTTGAGGATCTCTTCAATAAATGGCATCACCTCTCCCACCTGGACCTGCACAAAATGGCGCCGGCATTTCTGTGCAATCTTGATGAAAGTGTCACATGCCATGTCCTGCACTCCATCATGGGTTTCTGCAAACATTGCAAAAACAGACTTTTAAGGTGATAAATATAAAAACTTGAGATGATAATTCTTTCTGCCGTCTGTTGTTGTTGCAAATACTACCATGGGCCTAAACAAATGTACATTAACACATTATTTAGATATTTTAGATAACAGACTGGCATCTTAGCATACCAAAAAAAAAGCACTGAAAAAAAAATATATACTGCAAAATAGTTAACTTTAGATTCTATGGAAAAATGGGACAACTAGCCCACATACCCAAAAAGGCCATAATTATAAAATATAAGAGATCCTCAAAAAATAAAATATTTGTAAAATGTATCAACTGGGATGCACAAGATTCTAAACAACAAATTCGAACTTACCATGCATAAACTCAAACAGTTTGTTGACAACAGTTTTCAAGAACCTCCAATGTGCCCTCAAAAAGCGTGGATACTGCCCGACTACATACATGATGTTGGAGGCTATGATGGCCTTGTTATCCTTGCCTCGTTTCTGTTCACACAGACCGAGCAAATCCTAGGAACAAGGAAAAAAAACATTAATAACTGGTGCCCAGCCGAGAGATATAAGTATCCAGTTAGAGATAAATGCAACAGCATATGTGTATTTAATTGTGACAAATGTATCCAGCTGAGATAAATGCCAGAAAAATCATGTCTTTATAACAGATACTTGTGTCTACATCACAGATACTTGTCTCTAAATAAAAGGTAAATCTGTCTAACATCACAGATAAATGTGTCCACATCACAGATAAATGTGTCTAAATAAAAGGTAAACGTACCTAAAAAAAAACAGATGAATCCAATCAAGAGATAAATACATGTGGTAAAAAAAAAAAAAATGCATCAATATATCAAGCTAAGACGAAGGTACCCAGCTAAGAAATAAAAGGTATCCGACAGAGACAAATTTGTCTGAAAGATATAAATGTGTCTGGCTAAGATTCATGCATCTAACTCGTGCAAAGACAAAAATTACCTTGATGACTGTGACTAGGAACCTCTTCTCATCATCCTCATGCATGGCTCCACTTATTGAACCTATGGCCCAGCAGATCTGTAACAAAGGAGATGCTAATGAGTCCAGCATGACATTCACAATGCGAGGCACTCAAATACCGTCATTTTCTGCACTTGTAGACAACCCATATTACAGAATTACTATTTCCGACAACCAGGTACTCATAGCACACAAGTACAAAATGCCTACAGAACCACCTAAAAATTAATAACAAAGGGGAGGAATATAATATGAAAATAATCACCATGAAGACTGAGACAATGGTGATAGGAAGACAGAAATAAAATTTAGAAATAAAATTTAAAAACATCACCTTAAGACAAATAGAGGAATTCAAGTTTTGGGAGCAATTTTCACATCCCATGGAAAACTGGACTTCAAAGGAAACAAACTTAATTAACCGTCATTAACGACATGTTATTGGGGGCCATGTGGGGGAATGTGGCTATTCCTTTCTCCACAATGGGGTCCCAGCACCCACACATGGACAGTGCCTCATCTAAGGTAAAGTGGTGACTTTTTAGCCGCCACAGGTAACATAATCTACCTGCCATGTATTAGGGGAGAGAACAAGAGAGAAAGGAGAGAAGAGAATGGATGGGATATGCAGGTATAAAGAATCTACTTACTGTGTTCAGGTTTTTCCAAGACCATTCTGTACCATTTACTTGGTTGTGCAGCTTTTCTGTCATGATGTTTTCTGTGTCTGTATAATCAAGATGAGTCAGGTACACTGAAAAGGAAAACAAACAACAAAGATGTCAGCGAAGTCAACAACAAGAATACAAATCCTAATAATAAAAACTGCATTTTATCAAATGAAGAACATTTTATGCAATAAATAAATGTCACTGGAGATTAGGAACAATTTCCGCATGCAAAAAAAGAGCCAGTTTTATCCCATGGCTGTGAATCCTGGACAATCAATAAACAAACTAAACGATTCTTGAGATCTCGGGTATGTGATTTTTTAAGAAGAATCTTTTGATAGAGGATGGCAACATCCGAGGATTTTTTAATAGCCTTTTGTCATGGCATGGAGGGGTGTCAACACAGGAACTGATACATGCTGCTGAAGATCGCAGATTGTGGAGAGGTACGATTGCCCACACAAGTCGGCAAGGCACTTGATGATAACGAATATTATTGTGAAGATTTAAATTAAATCTCGAATACTTATGAATAAATGTTAACAGTTGTAAAGATTAATGATGATGATGTACTGACCTAGTGTTTCCCTCATGTTTTTGTACAGGTTGATGGAGTCTGTGTCCTTCATGAATTCCCTGACCACTTCACCCTGGTCATTTTCCACCACCAGCACCTCTTCAGGTTTGGCCATACGAGAGATCATTACTAGACGCACCTACAGCAAACAGAAAACAAGGTTACATATCATAACTAGACGCACCTACAGTGAACAGACAACAAGGTTAGATATAACTAGACGCACCTACAGCGAACAGACAACAAGGTTACATATCATAACTAGATGCACCTACAGTGAACAGACAACAAGGTTAGATATAACTAGACGTACCTACAGCAAACAGACAACAAGGTTACATATCATAACTAGACGCACCTACAGTGAACAGCAACAAGTTAACAGCACCTACAAACAGACAACAAGGTTACATATAACTAGACGCACCTACAGCAAACAGACAACAAGGTTACATATCATAACTAGACGCACCTACAGTAAACAGACAACAAGGTTACATATCATAACTAGATGCACCTACAGTGAACAGACAACAAGGTTAGATATAACTAGACGTACCTACAGCAAACAGACAACAAGGTTACATATCATAACTAGATGCACCTACAGCGAACAGACAACAAGGTTACATATCATAACTAGACGCACCTACAGCGAACAGACAACAAGGTTACATATAGACACCTACAGCAAACAGACGGTTACATATCATACCTAGACGCACAGAGCGAACAGACAACAAGGTACTATCATAACTAGACGCACCTACAGCAAACAGACAACAAGGTTACATATCATCATAACTAGACGCAACCAACAAGGTACAGCTAAACACGCACCTACACAAGGTTACATATCATAACTAGACGCACCTACAGTGAACAGACAACAAGGTTACATATCATAACTAGACGCACCTACAGCAAACAGACAACAAGGTTACATATCATAACTAGACGCACCTACAGTGAACAGACAACAAGGTTACATATCATAACTAGACGACAACAAGGTTAGATATAACTAGACGTACCTACAGCAAACAGACAACAAGGTTACATATCATAACTAGACGCACCTACAGTGAACAGACAACAAGGTTACATATCATAACTAGATGCACCTACAGTGAACAGACAACAAGGTTAGATATAACTAGACGTACCTACAGCAAACAGACAACAAGGTTACGTATCATAACTAGATGCACCTACAGCGAACAGACAACAAGGTTAGATATAACTAGACGCACCTACAGTGAACAGACAACAAGGTTAGATATAACTAGACGTACCTACAGCAAACAGACAACAAGGTTACATATCATAACTAGACGCACCTACAGCGAACAGACAACAAGGTTAGATATAACTAGACGCACCTACAGCAAAGAGACAACAAGGTTACATATCATAACTAGACGCACCTACAGCGAACAGACAACAAGGTTAGATATAACTAGACGCACCTACAGCGAACAGACAACAAGGTTAGATATAACTAGACGCACCTACAGCGAACAGACAACAAGGTTAGATATAACTAGACGCACCTACAGCGAACAGACAACAAGGTTAGATATAACTAGACGCACCTACAGCGAACAGACAACTAGGTTAGATATAACTAGACGCACCTACAGTGAACAGACAACAGGTTTACACTTCATAACCAGACGCACCTACAGTGAACAGACAACAAGGTTAGATATAACTAGACGCACCTACAGTGAACAGACAACAGGGTTACATATCATAACTAGACATTTAGTTACATATGCAGAAAGGAGCAAGAGCGGAAATTAATTTATGTTTTTAATTGGAAGAAGCTCTCCCGAGGCAGATGAACCAATGAGACAAGTTTCTAAGGGTCAATGTTTACCAAATTCAACAACAAATTCATCTCTTATCATCCTCAGACATCAGTCCTCATGTATCCATTTTGACCTTGACAATGAGTTAGTCACTGAAAACACAAACTGGATGTCACTGTATACCAGTTTTGAATGGTGAATACTTCCTGAATATCTAATGAGATAAACACTGATCTTTATACACTAGGTCAGCACAGGACAGTATAGATGACTATTTTATAAATACAGGTGTACCTATACCACCATGATCAATATTGTAGTTCCTGGGCTGGTTGGGAAGTTTTCTTAACATTTCATAGTGGTCTGTGTTATGCCATTTTCTCTAATTCAATGCACTAATAGCTCTGTGCATGTCAATTTTGTAAGTATTTCGGTTCTTGGTCTATTCTGTCCTAAAATGCCTCCTAGTATTTTCATGTTACATAATGTCCTATGATTTGATTTCTTTAAGCTCATCTATGATAGCAATGTTTATTACTTCCCTTCACAAACAAACTGAGAAGAAAAAAAACAGAAATGCAGATAAAAATGTATGGTTCTCAATAATTTATAACGTACCCCAAACAGGAAATCCCCGTCGAAATCCACAGCTGACCTGACAGTCCATTATTTCAAGGGGTGCAAGTGTGGTGTTTTTTGTGTGTTCATCTAGTGTCTTCTAATCCTAACCCTAAACTTTACTGTAGACAAATCGCGAGAAACAACAACCTGAACACCCTAGAATTTATTGGGAATGTCTCCCGTGACGTTGTCGTGACGTCAGAGGTAAGTTGTAAATTAAGTACCAAATGTATGCCACATGATTTCGAATAAATGACATAAACGATTCAATACTGACCCTGGAAAGCACTGGATTGTATAACTGTCGCCGCATGGGTAATTCCTGATTTTGTACACGCAAGGAGGAGAAAATGAGTGGTGGTGAGGATGAATCGGAAAAAGGGTTTTCTCTGTACAGTTCTGAGGCAAGAGAGCTCCAGTACTCCAGGCAAATCTTAAAGATTTCCACTTCTTCAACATGTGAAATCAGTATCAGATAGTGTAAAGCCTGAAAAACAAAACACACCTTTGTTAAATATTTGTGCAGGGTCATTCTAGTAACAACATTTGTTAAGTGATATGCTTATCATTTCAACATTCACCACTCAGTAGAGAAGTAATAATATTAACAGCAAGTCTAGAACAAATTATTCTGCACCTCAGTACAGGACGGTCGACTCCGTGTTGTATGTAAACAAAAATCTAAGCTTGGCAAAACATGGATTTGTATTTACACTGGACTGTATTCCAGACAGCAGATCACATATTCAGAGTGTGTCATTAGAGCAAACCTTATGGCCTACAGAAAATGTGACATTAGGGCAAACTTTATGGCCTACAGAAAATGTGATTGCAGTGCTTTTTGATCACTGACTAAAATTAAATAAGAAAGTCAAGTTTACATGACAAGCTGCAGAAAAGACATTCAAGCACATAAAAGGAGATCAACAAAAATTACATTTAAGTTATGATTAACCGAAATGAACACATGAAGTGCCTAAAGGTCTTAACAAGTAAGTCTCCTTGTCACATCATGCGGCACATTAGGTATATTCTGCTAACTAACCAATCAGCACTCAGTGTGTGACAAACAATTTTCCAAGAAATGTGCGGATACAAATTACAGGATAGGCTGACCCGAGAGCTCAGGCCAATGAAAACAATACCCACTGAATCAGAAAGCAAGCATGGCTCACATAACTTTATAGCACTGAGTTTCAAAGCTGCTCGCCACAGCTTCCAGTATCCATTCACTGATTCCCTGTCCTGTTGTCCTCCAAACTGTTATATCATGTGCAACCACGTTGATATCATGAAGAAACCCAGTCCACCGCCACTGGCTTCCAATATCAACACTCGCCTAAATTTTGTACCAACAATAGATAAAACCATACCATGACAAGATGTGGGAGACAGGACTAAATTGCACTGCCGCCCAATTATGTAAGGTCAGCTATTCTCTCTCTCTCTCTATATATATATATATCTCTAAGATGAGAAAAGCAACCAACCTCCATGAGTAGTGTGTTTAGCTCGGGTTTCTTCTCCACCAGCAGAGCGTGCTCTTTCAGAAAGGTACATAAAAACAGGCTGAGGTTCTGTATGAAGTTCTGCTCATCATCCGTGCCACCTTGATAGGCTTCTTTTATATTTGTTTCTAAAGGAAGCATCTGAAAATACATTCAAGTGCAGGTAAACTACAGATGATTTCTATAGGCATCTAATGAAAAATGTTTTCAATCAGCATCTAAACAAGACTAGATGTTTTCAATTACCATTTGAACAAGACTAGTTGTTCTTAAAAGCCATCTAAACAAGATTAGACTATAACCATCTAAACAAGACAATGTACAGATGTTTCATATAACAGTCTAAAAAAAAAAGACTAGACAAATTTTCTATAACCATCTAAATAAAACTACAGCTGTATTTAACCAAATAAACACAACAGTGCAGAAATGTCAACTATAACTGTCTATTTTCCTGCGCTCATCACTACAAACATATAAACAAGACTGTATGCACATGTCAAGTACCTGCTTGAGCTGGTTCATCCCCAAAGTAAACAACTGCAGGAACTGCTCATCGTATGTCTGAGATGCCTGTACCCCGGCTGAAAGAGGGACAAAACATGTTAATATAATCATTCAATGCACCACTCATAACCATTTCTGTAGGTCTCTTCTACATTGTTACAACAAGAGAAGATCATTATTTATAACAGTATCTCTGTCAGAAAATTGAATATATTACAGTAAAACTAGATAGATACCCTGCAATGTAGTTTAATATACTGACATGCAATCTGTGATTACCTGCCACTTTAAGCAACTAAGTATTTGTCAGCTGAACAAGAAAGCATGTTACAGCTCACAAAAATGTCCACAGCAAGTGAACACAATGTACAAAAAGGCTGCAAGCAAGACTGCAAAGAAGCAGCAATAAACTCACCTATTTCTGTAAGACACTTCATTGTGATGTTTCTGAACATTGGAACATTCAGGAACTGAAATAAAACCAAATGATGAACAACATTAATTCAGTACTTAACACAAACCTCACTTCTAAGACAATCAATATAACATTACTCTTTAATACAATGAGTACTGCAAAAGGAGTATAAAGCGCAGTCCATATCTTGTTTACGTTCACCAGCTAAAAATCCTGGTGGTTCATCCACTTCTGGACTTGGGTCATGCTCCAGAATCTTAATTTTGCAAGCACATCCATTTGACAGATCTGGCTTATTCGTAGGCTTAAAAATGTGACTGTCTCCATTTCTACAAGTGCTTGTAAATACCTATCGATCTATTTCTTGTGCTATTTCAACAGACTGAAGGGATACTTAAAAAATGACATAAACAAATCTAGGTTCATCTGGGTAAAGCATTCAGAAAAAGCTCTTATTAGCTCAGTCTCCCTCTTCAGCAGCCTGTAAAATGTCTCTATCCAGTTATTTGGTTAACTACTTGTCTCATATTTCCCACGAGTTTTGAGTGGCACCCAGAGTCCGTAGACATCCTCACTGCACAATTCTCTACAGGTTCTGGTTTTCCATTTTTTCATTCACAGTAAGTGCAATCACATTACACCCCCATGTAGGGTCAGTCCAGCCAATCTATCTGCCTACTCGTTTCCAAACAAACCTACAAGGCCTAGACAAAATATTCATGTGACTCACCACCTGCAACCCCTGGACTGATGCGAACATTTCTATACAGAGAACAGCCTGACAAGACAAGCATACAAACACACTTATGCCTGGCCCTTAACTTACCTTATATATGAGAGTAGTTATTAGCTTGGTTTCAAAAATGTATCCCAGGGGAATCCAGTTCAAGAAACGTAGCAGTGTTTCTAGGGTGGCACCAACAAGAGGGGCGTTCTGGCTGTTGTCCTGGAGGAATAGAAAAGTTGTAGTTCATTCCGTGGGTGAATTATGTCAAACACTCAACAGCTAAAGGTATACCCATCATCAACAAAATGAAATAAAATCAAACCTTCAATCCAAACAAGAAGATCGCAGATATGTCCAGGAACATATAATGACCTCTGCAAACACAACAGCTTGAGTGAGGCTTCTTTCTTGCTAACTGCCTTTAAAAAAAAGATCAAGGAGAGGGTGTTTTGGCACTCCACAGGGTGTACTGTGTACAAAGCGTGTAGACTGGTGCTCACTGGGTGAAGAGGTTAACATGACAAGAAAAAGGTGGTGCTACTAGAGCCCACTTTCCTGTAAGCCTCAGTGATAGAGATCAAGATACGAGTCGCCCAATACATACTGTTTTTAGGCTCTATGGAATGTATTCCTTTTCATGCTTCACTGTTCATGATGACGACACTTCAATAATAAATTTCAAACTGTGCATTGTGGATGACTTTTTTTAAAACTTTATTAGTGACCAAGGTGAAATTAGATTTTTAAGGCTGTTTTCCCAGGAGTTCCCTTGGGTTCAGTACCTTTTTTCTTTAAGCGTTAGTGGGGTGAATGGTTTTGTTACAGAGACATACACATACTTCCTTTGTAACTGCAACAAATAAGGGTACATATTTGAGTATATATCTCACTTACTCAGTTCAGTTCACTTATTTTGCACCTGGAACAAATGAACTCACTCGACCTGTCTTGGTTTAGCGAGCAAATACAATAAATATTACGCTCTGGCACACAATGTCATGACAAAAAAATTGTTTGCTGCCACATTTAGAAATAGCTAGCCTACATGTAATTTCACTTGAGGCCAGGTACTCACCATAACAAACTGGCACAGCTGAAAGATTTGTGAGAACTCACTACACATGGTGTCCTTTAAATGTTTGGCTTTGGCTTGTGTCATCTGGCCACTTGAGAAGTCAAACACCTCCTCACTGAAACAACAATCACCAACTGTTTAAACATGCACATTCACTAGTCATGACAATCATCTTTCAATTATTGTTCTAAACAACATGAAGGCAAAGTGGTGAGGCCGTTTGTTTCCTCTATATGGCATCTGGAGACTTGAGGGTCAGTGCCTGAGCTAGTTTCCAACCTTGTGAAGCCATTGCATTTAAGTCAATTCTCTTGTTTGCAAAAAAAAATTATTTCGGCCCTTCTCCTTGGCCCTTACAATGTCAGCGCGCACTGCTGTGGTTTACTTCTAGAGTGCAATTTGTCTTTCAGTCCAACACATACAATTTTAGTAAATTATGAATTTTATACAACATGCTTAACAAGTGATGAGGCTATTCTTTCTTACCCCCAAAATGGGGGCCATTTAAGAAGCCTCCGTCCATCTGTTGTGCTGTCTATTGTAGCACTGAAGTAACTGATGACGTACTATCTGCATGAACTAAAGATTAAATCTACGGAATTTAGTTAGGCTTATATGGTATCTTTCACAAACTGTAGTTTAGTGAATAAAAGTATAAGTGTGTTTGAAGGTCAAGTTCTTTTTCTTCTTGTTGACCGGGCTAGCCTTCCCGGGACATGGCAGTCTCATTGTTGTGTGGTCATCTTTATTTCCCAGGTCATAGGTGGTGCCCCAATCAGGCTAGTCCAGAGAGGCCACGTAATGCTGATCAGTCCTCAAGAGAAAGCAGGGGTAGAACATGAGCATTCCCCGCCATTTAAGGAGGCTTCCACAAATGCAAAGCTAATACATGGTGATTTGGTACTGGGCTCACCCAAGGAATCGTCAGGTCCTTCTCCTGACTGTTTAACCTCACTTCCATATATTGAACATCTCATACAACTTGGGCTATCTCTTTTGTAGCCAACAGTATGCAGCCTGCAGGCCTGGCATTTCATTTACCTACACCACAAAATGAGTACTTTGCTTTTCTTTTGCATGTTAGACTTTTACTGGACTTATTCATCCACTATAGTTTTATGGAAAGTCAAGTTCAGTGTTTACTGACATGTTACACAGTTATCACTTTTACTGTAAATGACTCCTAATCAGTAACCTGTTCAATATTCTATCCTAAGGGCAATAAATGTGCCAATACTACCATATTTACACCAACAAAGTGTGAAGATAACATATATTTCAGAGAAACAGGAAATGGCAAAAAGATATGAGAACAAGAGTAAAACAAGAGCAAGAAAGGAGACTGAATGCTTCAGAAAGTGGGATGGCTGCAAGGAAGGTTAACAGTATCACCCACCTGAGCAGTTTCAAAATGGCCATGTTGTTCTGGCACAGAGATTCATTTGTTTTGCTAGCACCAATAATGTCACTGATAAAGGTCGGCCAGTTGCGTGGCCACTCGTATTTCAAAATCTGAAAAGACAAGAAACCAGTTATTTGGTTATAAGATATTACTCGCATTATAATGTCAAATAATGAATGGATCAATGAAAAATTGACATCGTTGCACTCCAGAGATTCCTACATTTGCTCCATCCCCTTCAGTAACCAATGAAGAGCTGATATGCTAATAGTATCAGCTAGGTAGTATCAGCTACAACCCGGATTCCATATCTGTTCTTTACCACTGTCCATGTGATCCCACAGAGCCTTCACTACACACAATTTATCATATAGTAGCTCACCGCCCAGTAGAACGGCAGCAGCTAATCTATCGGCCTGCTCGTTACCTCTTCACCTGAATATCCTGCACAGAAAATCCATATGCTCTTGATGTGTGTCTTATCAGGTGATAAAAGCCACTCTGTGCACAGGACACCAGTTCCAATTTTCCAAAGCTTGCTCTGTGAGTTTGCTACAGTTACAACATGCTGGGCTGTGCTGCTCTTAAGCCACCAGAGAGCTGCCGTTACTGCCTCCACCTCCCTTCTCATACCGGATGTAGTGACGTAAGCGATGCTCTCTGTTTTCAAGCAGTGTCCATTCACCTTTGCAATAAAACTGCACCCACTCTCCTTACCTCTCACTACAGACCCATTTGTGTATATTATGCCACTTAGGTGTGAATATTCATTGATCAGCTCTTGCATCGCTGAATGTTTCACCAGCTATCCATTTCCAGAGCCCTCAGTCCAAGGTAACTATCACTCTGTGCAGGGCTGTTCTGCTGGGCGACACTAATGCATTCTTCACATCTCTATCTTGTCAGTAGCACAAACCGTTCTCTAATGATGACATCTGCCTAAGCCATCCAAGAGCCACCTCTTTTCAGCCACTGTCCCTTGCTATCCCCTAAGCTAAGACTCCATGCAGATGGTTTTCCCTGTCTTACAACTCAAAGGTATATCTTTACCAGTAAAATCTTGCCTCTCTCATACAGGGATGGCATGCATACAATTGGCGTGTCTTGTGTACATCCCAAAATGACTTACACAGCTCAATTTTGTGCACGTTCCAGCTTCTTTCTCTATTTGGGTATGAGATAATATTAGCAGTCGCTAACTATACTCCATCAGCTGTTGGTAAAGTGTCAAACAACAATCATGAAACAACACTGTCACTATTGAAACAGTTTATTCACAAGCTGTCTTTATATTACTTTTGTACAACAGGCCTCTAAACCTGGGTCTGTAATGAAGTAAGATACTCAGTCAGAGGACTTCACTCATGTTCCAAATTAGTTTTTCATGTACTTTATCTGTATCGCCCATGCACTGATAAGCACCAAGGGATTTTTGTGTACTGCAGCTCTGGGGACCTTTGTCCATAGCAGGAGACGAAGAGGTGCGCAGGAGTCTCGCTTGAGGATCCATGAAACCAGAACAGACACAGCTGGAGCCTGAGGTGAGGTACTGAATATCTCCTTATATACCAAAGTATCTCATAAACCTGCCTTAACTTTCTGTCATGCCTGTGACTGAAATCACTGTGCCACATGTCTCAGATAACAAGCAGGTAAAGATCTCCCTGCCATTTCTTTTTTTTTTTTTTTTCTGGAGTCAAAAGTGTTTGATTTTCACTACCTCTAAATTTACACCACAATAACCAGTTCCATTCTTGACCAGTTCTTCCAGTACATACTCAGGGTTGGTCCAACTTCTGAGTCATAAAAAACAATGTTAAACTGTATCACTAGAGAAGAAAGTTCTAGACCACAATGCCAGTAACAATGTGCACTAACCAGTAATATCCCTACCAGTCACAACTATCAAAAGAAACTTCAATATTATTCTCACCTGAACTAGGATCATGTTCAGTTTTCCAACATAAACTTTCTCTCTCTCCAACAGGGTTGCATCTGATGATGTTTTGATGATCAGCCCAACAATGTATTTTTTAATGCCTGTAACGAGAAAAAAGTTACAATTTCTAAAACACTACTGCCTTAGATATTTTTCTTCTTCGCATCTACAGACGTGATGTCTACAGGTTGTGAACTGGCGGAAAAGTTCTGGTTCTTTATCTGTTTCTGGGCTAGACTCTTGTTCCAAAAATTGGGTTTTGCATGCACAAGCGTTATACAAATCTGATTTATTTGTATGCAGACTGTTGGCTTTTTGCCTCTGAGGCATATGCGCTGTGACTTCAAAAGAAACACCACTAATCCATTGACTTTTACAGCATGCAATGGGTCTATCGCCCCCTTCCCCCTTTCCCCGGGACCCTGAAACCCATACAGGGAGTTGCCATAGCAAACTCATGCTGCAATCCATGAACTCCAGGGGAAAAAAAACTACTGCACTCCTGAATCAGACGAGGCCTGAAAAGATTTTATAAGTGTATCTGTAAACGTTCTCAGCACTTGATTAGAACCATTTCTCAAAGCTCTTGTATCAAACTACATTTCTGTAGCCTCTTTTTATTGATCACTATCAAGTAATCTCAATCTTCTTCTGCCTTTCTAGCCCCCATTGGAGCATAGGCCCTCAAACAACTCACACCAAGTCATTCTATCTTTCGCTATTTCATGCAGCTCTCCCCATGTCCATCCCCATCTTTTTAACCTTATTATCCAGCTCTTTTCTCCATGTTTTTTTTTTCTTTCTTTATTCCTATGCCAGTGGTTCAGGTGCAAACACATTCTAGTGATATGCTCTCAAGTGTTTGCAACGTGTGTCCTATCCACAGCCAGCATAATTTCCTCACCCACTGGTCCACTGAAACTTGTTTAGTTCTCTCCCAAATCTCTACATTAGTGATTCTATCATACCATTTCATGCCCTCTATTCTGCGCAGGCACTAGTTAATGAATGTTTGTAGTTACTTAGTAACTGCCATAGTTGTTCTCCATGTTTCCGCCCCATACAACAGAACTGATTTGACATTAGAACTAAAAATGTTAAGTTTAGTATTATTAAATTTCTTTTGACCTCCACAAATTCCCTTGTGCTATGAAAGCACCTCTAGCCTTTTACACTCGTATTTTAGTATCTGTACCAGTCCCCCCCATCCCCATCTTTATCTACATTACTGCCCAAATATGTGTACAACTCCATGCCATACAAAACCACATCACTATTTGCCTGATTTATTCTAATTATCTTTGTCTTCTCCTTATGGATTTTCAGACCTAGCTGTTATGATCTTGCATCAAGGATATTTGATTTATATTGTATTTGATTGCGTGACTGGGACAAAAGAGAAATATCATCAGCACTTAATGTCCCTGCTCATGAATCATGCCTCTCCACAATCCACGATCTCCTGCAGGATGTATCAGTTCATGTGCAGAAACACCTCCATGCCATGCAACAAGACTGTCAAGAATCTTCTCTTGTTGTCTTCCTTTATCCCTTTTTCCACAGATCTTTCCAGTGGTCACAACATGTTCAATTTTCCCTCTTCTCATAACATGGCAGAAAAATTATGACCGTCTCCCTCTGACGTCTGTGATAAGTTGTCTTCGGGCTCCCGCCTCTTTCAAAACCTCTTGGTTGCTCTTTTTGGCTGTCCAAGGTATTCTGAGCATTCTTCTGTAAAACCACATCTCTAAGGCCTCGAGAAGCTCGTAAATAAATGCATTTAAAAACAGTGTTACAGGTTTGTTCTTCACAGGTACAGTTAAGAGAACTTACCTTCACACTGGGCTCTGGGCAGAACCTTCCAGCGTGTTTTGATGACATTTTCTAGAATTTGCAGGGCATAGTATTTGGTCTGCTGGTTGCTAGAGAACTCCAGGATGGTGTCCACCCGGGTCCAGGCATCAGGGTGCTCTTTCAAAGTGGTCAATACCTCCTGGGCCATCCTTTGCTGCACACAAAAACAAAACAGGCCACATTCCTGAATTATCCGAAACAAAGACCACATAAATGGATTATTCCTGCTACAGAACCGAAATAGCTCAGTCTCTCGTGAGAAAAGATAAAGATTTAATCATCATAATCACTCTGGTGTGATTGTCTCAACCTACACAGCAGGGGCTCAGTCTCTCATGAGAAAAGACAAAGATTCAATCATCATAATCAAGCACTCTGGTGTGATTATTTGTCTCCAAATTTCCAACATCAGTTTAAAAGTGACTGCTGCAGCCTTTCTGCCCATGGCACCCATCTCAGTTAACACTCATCTACCTTTCTACTGTCCTTGTCTAGGTTTTCCTTCGCTGGTCCAGATGCTCCCCCCCCCCCTGCCCAATCTGCGTGCTATTTACTAGAAAGCTGTTTCTGTTGAAGTATCATGAGATATCCTGCAAACATGCTTAAACCACCTCCTTTCAGTGATAAAGATTTTGCTTTCCTCCACAGTTCATTTGTGGCCAAAATATTAACAGGATTCTCCTTATAAATTTAATAAGTCTCTGGTTTATGTGTAATATCTGCCATTCTATCATTCACACGATTGCTAATTTAAGTACTTCTTCTTCTTTTTGTGTTCGCTTTCTGATTTACACCGACAGACAGGTTCTTGTGATAAACTTGACTGTTTTTATGAGTTCCTTTTTAGTCCCATACAACTCTGTGTGCAGTGGTGACTCACTGGGCCAGTATTCTCTTCTTAATGGGATGAACAAGGGACAGTCTTGCAGGACATGTTCTGTAGTCTGCACACATAGCCCACAAGGGCACACAGGTGAACTACTTAGACGAAGCCTGTGCATATGCTGGTTAAGTTTGTTATGTCCTATCCTGAGACGTAGGACAATGACCTGCCCATGCCGGTCAAGTAAGTGGTAGTCATCTCTGGCTAGACTGTTCACTTTTAATAGCCTGGATGGCCCTTTTCTTCTCATAGTTATTTAAGTAGTTAAAGTCAGGATTTGAGATTTTTTGCCCATAACTTATCCAACTGTTTAATCACGTTCATTTTATTACTGGCGTGCGTGTGGACATGAAATTTGTTTCCTGGTATACAACTGTGTTTGGAACATGACTTGGGTGCTAGAGCTTGTTTAAGTCAAAATGAATCACAGCTCCACGTGCTACGCATGTTTACCTCTCACTAACCAAGGAAATGTTTGTCATATGGATAAATGTCAAAAACTTTGCAATTAAGTACCACCCAACAAAGCCATAATAGGTCTGTCTGGAAAAACCAGACAATGTCACATTTCCTAAACATCCTCAGGATTACGTCATTTGCTGCAGGAGATACTCTTGACAGCACCATTATAGCAGGCACTTGACTCTTCACACCACCATTCTAGCAGGCACACGACTCTTCACACCACCATTCTAGCAGGCACACGACTCTTCACACCACCATTCTAGCAGGCACACGACTCTTCACACCACCATTATAGCAGGCACCATTCTCTAGCAGGCACACGACTCTTCACACCACCATTCTAGCAGGCACACGACTCTTCACACCACCATTCTAGCAGGCACACGACTCTTCACACCACCATTCTAGCAGGCACACGACTCTTCACACCACCATTCTAGCAGGCACACGACTCTTCACACCACCATTATAGCAGGCACACGACTCTTCACACCACCATTCTAGCAGGCACACGACTGTTCACACCACCATTCTAGCAGGCACACGACTCTTCACAGCAACAAGTGAGGTTACATTTTCAATTTATTTCATCTTGGTGCTTTTATATTTATGTATTTTAGTGTTAAGCAGTGTATAAATTATTTTATATTTCTTCTGGGTAACAAACAGATTTTTTTCACGTGAACAGATTAATCAGTCTGCTTTTTTGTTCTTATGAGACTATTCGTATGGTAAAAGTCCTGTCTGATAGGCATCCAGAGATCTGCAGCAGATTACAGACTCATAGCAGGGTATCACAGTATATCTATATTAAACAAACTCCCATGAACCAATAGCTGAAGAAATGACACTGGTATTGGATAGGACAACAAGTTGAGAAAACGTGATGTCTCTACACTTAAACCCCAGAAAAGCAAAGAATAAAAACATGGATAATGAAATCAGAGAGTAAAATTAAAAAGGGGACATTGGTGGGAAACATACAATAGCAAAGGACAGGACGACTTGGTACGATCTGAATAAGGTCTATGCTCCAATGTCAGGATAAAGAGCAGAAGAAGAAACTGGTTTTTTTTAAAGTGATGTAATAATAAGACACTGGCTGCGTGCCTGCCTGTGATATAGTTCTAGCCTGTACCACATACATGTACCAGAACGCTTAGGCTTGCTTTGTATTTGTCAGATGCTTAATTAAAGGCTGACACAACAGACTTTCTCAAACGACCTCTCACAAAAAATAAAGGATATATCTTTAGCAAATGTTATTTACCCCACATATTCAGAGAAAACTTATCAACATCTAAAAATGTGTCAAGTCGATATTCTCAGATGCTTAATTATGTTATTTCTTGACCTCTCATGGTATATCTTTCAAACATACCCCACATATCACTTATCAACATAACACAATTGATCAATATGGTGTGCAGACCAGTCCTCTAACCATCTGGCAAGCAACTTATCAACCACTTTAACAATGGAGCCAGATAATTATTTTAAGAAAGTCCTGTTCACACTTTTTGGGCCAGAAAAAAATATTAAGAAACACACAAAATAAATAACATCGTCAGACAGCTTGATATTTTCAATGTAATATGTCTCCCAAAAATAAAATAAAGACGCACCTGCTGGCCATCTGAAGTGTACATGCATGCTACGATGTTATCAAGAAGCTGAATGTCCAGTTTCTGGGTAAAGTCCAACAGTTTTTCTGCTTGTTCAGCTAAGGTTGCCATTTTCATTCTTAGGTACTCAACATATATGACACCTGTATCAATGGACAGCAAGATATACTTTACAATATATAGTTATTATTTAGAAGAAATTTGTCAGATCTGTAAAGTGTTTACAAGTATGGATGTGCATAGTACAAGCAACACATATTTCCTAGAAAAATATAAATTGTTGTCCTCAACGACCAGGACTTTCATCCAAAATTCACAACTGCCAAGTGCAGTTTTCCTTGCAAAGTGTATCATGTTTTTATTTTTGGTCATTTGCTTCTAACTAGTCAAAAAAGTAGTTACCAATAATAATACTTGCAAGTACCAACAATTTTTTTAGACCTAATTATTGATCTCATCTTCATTTCGTCAGTAGTATCAATCTCATCAATGACAATCAGGCCATTTTCATCTTAGAACAGGTCTAGAAAATAGCATAAACAAGACTGGCCCAATAAACTTTGTGTTATCTGCAGAATGACATCTGGTCTTATATCATTACATGTAGCAGATCTTTTGCAAAAAACACTTAGAATCAAACTTAGATTACAATATTACACAATGCTGGAAGGGTATCTTTCTTATTTATTCATTTACTGTGTGAACTGTCAATAACTGCTTATTCATTAACAAAAGCTTAAGGTTAAAGTGTCCTAAGTGGTTCTTCTTCTTCTTCTGCGTTCGACATCAGTCATGCTAAACAATGAGTTCCGTCTGGGTCACAAATAGGATTGTGCGTTTAAGGTCGCCACCGGCCCCCTATAGCTTCTCTTTCAATGTGGCTCCCTTGGGCCAGATCCAGTCTTTGCTGGGAGAGGTAAGGGCAGTACTGTAGTATGTGCCCAGGGGTCTGTCTTTCTGCTCCACAATCACAGGCAGCAGATTCTTTTATGCCTATCCTGTACAGGTGTGCTCGAAGACCAGTGTCCAGTCCGAAGTCTAAAAATCGTTGTTTGTTCTTTCCTGTTGAGTTTGTTTATGCTGTCACTCTCTGGTCTGTAATCTCCATTCTGCCTTCTCCACTCCAGCTTGAAAGACTGCTTTAGCGCTGTTTTGGTTTCCTTGTAGCTGTGTGGTGGCTGAGGTTGTGGAAGATTACTCCCAGCTTTTGCCAACTCATCTGCTCTCTCATTTCCTTGAATACCACAGTGGGCTGGTATCCACTGCAAGACCAGTTCTGCTTCCTTGGAGAGTAAGCCAATGTTGGTCCTTAGATCTGCAATTAGTTTGTCTTGTTTTTTGCTTGATAGTGCTTGGAGAACAGACAATGAGTCACTAAGTATAACAATTTTGTGCCCTCTGTGTTCTTGAGTGATGAGATGTTGGACTGCAGAAAGGAAAGCAGTTGCATCAGCTCTGAAGTTAGTGCAGATGTCACTAAGTGGTGTCTCTATTCTATGCTCGTGGACTTCTTCTTCTTCCTCTTCTTTCTAGGAATGAGGTCTTATCTTACATGTTTTTTCTACACTACTGTAGCGTCTAACTCTAATATGACCAAAGTATTTCAAGTGCCAAAAAAAAAACGTGTTTCTGAACCAGCTTTCGTGGCTTTTGTTTTCATATCAGTATTCTCAGAATTAAGCTGCATCAGACGACTAGATATTTAAGTAATTGCGAAATAATCGCAAACTGTGAATTTAATCTGTAATCATGTAATCTAGTACCTAAGAGTGTGCAAGCGACAAATCTCCAGTCCAGGGGGAAACACCCAAGTTTTATTTTTTTCTATTCATTGCTTCTCGATTTTCTTTCTGAAAACGAAAACAGCGGGAACACAACCTAGTTTCAAGTTAAAAACTGAACTTTTGGACGTATGGCCAAGAAAACACCAAGGGCTATGAATACAACAGAAAGAACGTATCATTAAACTTGGAACATTACACATTACAAGTATCTACAGCCTATGAATCCTGCATGATGTGTGAGGTTCCCTGGCGATCAAATCCTCGTTGTTTCATCCACAACTCTGTTTACAACCAGCGATAAGGTCACATGACCTGTATGGCTGTTAGCACGACGCACGTCTTTCTCTCTCAAACTAGAATAAAACTTCCGTCGCTTTCTTGGCCTTCCGAAACATGGCGGCGCCCATCGGGAGTTTGCTACAACTTTGCTCTAGCAAATCTACTGATCCCTACAAATTCCGTAGCTTGTAGATTAGGAAAAGACGGAGAACATGCTCACCTGTACGTCAGCCTTCTTCTAGCGCTGTCTAAAATCTGAAGAAAACACCCAATGTGATGAACCGGTTGGAACTGGTACATGTTCGCCATATGCCTGCTGCTCGGCAAATTCCGTCATGTCTTAACAAAATTGCAGACAGCATAAATAAATATGTTTTACATATTCAAAAAACTTAAAATTCAAAAATATCCTTACTAAATTGCTATAATTTGATTTTAACTGCTTTTTCTTAAATTTGTTGGCCACTAATGCTTCGTATGTTTCCGGATATTTGACCATAATGTAGTACCAAATCGTTCATTGGTCAGAGTGTTTTATTCATTAAAGAATGTAAATCGCAGTTATTCTGAGTAATTAGCAATAATATTTTGTTGCACTCAATAATTAAAAGCTATTATGTATCAGTAAATGTTTTAGTCAAAGTTTAATTCTATAAATTACCTTTTCTTTGCTAAATTCTTTTATATCTGGGAAGGAAAAAAACCTGCTGTTATCCAATCAAATTCCAGCTTACAACAGAACTTTATAAACCTTTAACCCATTGAAGCCCTGATTAGATTTCCTTCGGTAACAGCGAAGATTGCTTCACACATATCCTTGCAACGCGGACATAGCTATGCGTGTTGCCTAAATCAAACCCTTAAAAGAAGTCCTTAAACAATATTTTTTAAATTATGGTCATTTTATCAATCATCATTGTTCAGAGTTTATATAAACATTTTTTTAAAGTTTTTTCAGTTGCTCTCACCCCTTTTTTTTTCCAGGGTTGCAGCAGGTAGGATTGACACCTCAAGAGTGAGAATAAAACACCAGTAGTCCGGTGTGTGTATATCATTCCTTCCATAGCAGGTGTGTAGTCGGAAAACGTTAATGCTTGAATTAAACAAGGATTCTGAAAGTGGGCATTTGTTTGGAAATTAGTATTGCACATGTAATTGGTAAAAATATAATGTGTCTTTAAGGCGGATGATTTAGGGCCGCATGGCTAGTCTGTATGAGGCGAATATTGTTGAGACACGACCGGCTCCTGCAGCTGGAGCCAGTTGTGGTTGAGAGACGCCAGCGGTGGTGGATTGGATTCCATAATATCGAAAATATTGCGCATTATAGAACGAGATTTGATGATTAGACTGAGTTGAGTTGATTTAAGAATCGACATTGCAACACTCGAAGCATTTCCATAAGCGCTCCGTACCCATGTTTAGCAGTCAGCACATAGTTCCCAAACCAATGGTGCCAGTATCAGTCTAATTATACGTCCGTCTTGCCTTTAATGTGATCCACTCGCCACTCTTCGCTACATTAGATTAAACTGTGATCGCTATATAACGTTCAAGCCCTCGACACGATGATAAAGATGATGATACAGGCACTCCAAAAACTTGAAAACAAAAAATTTTGCCATCTGCGTTTCTTATTCATCATCATCATGTAGGAGGTCTGAAAAAAACTGTCTCTCGCCAGTTCTCCCGGCTCATGTACTTTCATACTCAAGGAGTCATTTATATCCTGTGCCTATCTTCATGCTGGTAGGCTCCTCCACCTCCTTCCTGGTACCATGCCTTCTGATTTGATTTTTTCTCCTAATCCGTCCTGACGCTTGATATTACCAAAATATTTTGCGTTTCTTATTAGTCATAAGTAATATGTTCTTTGTCTCGGAAACCGCAACACTTTCGAAGTATTTAACACCATGTTTGTTTGTCAAAAACCTTAACTGAGTGCTCACCACAAAGTTAAAAAAAAAAGGTGCTGGTATCCGCAACAAAGTGTCTATTAGAGTATCCATGACTCAGGGTATGTTTCTGAGAAGAACTGGGCAGGGTTCGACCAGAACGACACAGAGTATCTGGTACCATGGCCATAAAGGCACACGTCGTGTGTAAGACTGTACGGGGAAGCTATGCTTAATGCATGTTTCACACAAATGCCGCAAAAAGTGCCCCGTGGAATCACGTGAACGGTGCCATTATCAAAAAGAGATAACATGCTGAAGACGTGATTACCCACCCCACCCCGGATTACCCCAGAGTTCCGCAATTTCACCAGTGCTCTTCAATGTGTATACAAGCAAGATCGCAGAAGAACCTGAAGCACCAGGTGTTGGAAGGATATTGACATTTTCAGATGATGTTCTTGCAAATAGACAGAGGAGTGATGGACAATAGACAGCACAAGAGCTACTGGCAACTGTAGATAAAGTGACTTACTGATGTGCGGAGATGGGTGCTGTCATCAACTCAGAAAAGGCAGCTGTTTTGTGGTGCTCTCTTGACAATAGAATAAGCCTCACAATTAATGACTAAAAAAAAAAAAAAAAAGAGTTAACTGCGATTAAAGCCAAAAAGGACTCGATGCTCTCAAGATTATGGCAGCAATGAACATGGGACAAAGAATGCTGTTCACAGTGTTCCAGCATGTGATCCCGTCGGTGATAGATTAGAAACTGAATGCTTACCATATCAAAGACTGAGCTGATTAAACTTGAACGCATACAGAATGAAGACATGCGGGTCATAGACTAAAAAGAGGAAGGTCTTGGATGGCGCAAGCTGAAGACACAAATAGACATGTGTGCAGGCTTGATACATTTGTGCGAGTTGAGGAGTGGATCAAAGTGTCCGAGCAAGTTTCAGACTTGTGTAGGGTTCTTATCACTTTGGGTCGAGAATGCAGGGACTGGCCAGCGGTTGCTGCAGAAGCAGAAGTTCAACAAATGATTCATGATAATTCTCGACCAGGCTCTGTGTTGAGGGACAGACGAAGTGCATAGTGGTTCATATCAAAAGCAAATGAACGTCGTTTAGTGCAACAAAGCCTGGCATATGTATCACAAAATTTAGTTTGAGAATGGAAAGGGACTCAGTCACTGATGCCTTCCACTGGCTTGAGAATTAGCTGCACGCGAATATTGTAATTATAACTGACTCACAGAGCATGTTGAGAAAGGTGGAGAAAAGTATGCGCCGTGTAGAGTGGCAAGCATCGCTCCGCAGGTCCTGGGTAGTTAGCGTCCTTTGGAGATTTTGGCTAGTACATGCCAGCGTGTTAGAAAACGAGCAGACAGATAGTCTGGCTGGTTCTGCAGCCCTTGGTGGTGAACTGATATATTACTAGCTAGATGTTGTCAGGGCCCGTTGGTAGCAAGTGAACAGTGCGGAGGCATGACAAAATCAATACAATCTAAGACGAACGGCACTGCAAGGAGTTGCCAGAGGATCTGACAGACGCTCACCACTCAAGGGAAAAGCGAGACGAATGTACAATCAGACAGTTACTGGTACCATCGGAATTCGAACTCTTCGCATGCTGTTGAAGATGGGGACGGAACGCTTATGTGAGTGTCCCGAGTTTTGTGATGTCGATTCTTAATTCAACATTCGAGGAAGTGAGATGCCCATTTGTACAGGGAATCGGAGTCTTATGTCTACTAAAGGGCGAAGCTTGTAAGAAGTGGAAGCTCAGTTCGCGAATGTGAGGTTAAGCAGTCATGATGGGACGATTTATTGGGTGAGCCCAGTACCAGAGCACCATGTATCGGCTCTGCATTAGTGAAGTCTACCTTTATGGTGGGGAATGAGCCGGGACGCTCATTGGCTCGCTAGTAGACGATTTCGTCGAGGTCGTCTAGGTATTTTAGTCGTCTTCCGTGATCGCATCGAGACTGCAGGAATTCTTTTAAGAGTTATTTGGTGGCGAGCAGCGCTAAGCCATCGTATATGGCTCACATAACCTAGTCACAATTATAACCTACAGCTCCCCTTGGAGGAATACTGGTTTGAAGTGATAATTTTTTTCTCCGCAAAACAAGTCAAGCATCATGGTCGACCCTCTACATGTATCTGCCCTGGAAGGGTCCCCTAAGAATAACACTCGTGGATCAGGGTATGACGAAGTCACCATACACATGCTGCTACAAATGTCCCCCAGACGTAGCCAGGATGCCTGAAAAGGTGAAAATATCACAGCTATGCATGTAAATAGACATATTGCATGTACATAACTCAAACGAACAAAAAAGTAAAAGATCACTCCCTCAGCTAATAGCATATAAATAGACATATTGCATAGACCAATTAGCATGATATGGCAAACATCACGCCTGCCACCTTTACTTCCCAGAACTTTACCTAGTAGCCATGTAAAGCTGGGTCGACCTGGTAGCCAAAGTTGTCAGGAAAAAAAAAGTACAGTTTTTCAGGGCTTGAACCCACGAACCTGTCATACTAGTCTACAATATTACATTTCTTCAATCTATAAATAATCGATCGCTATCTATTGATGACGAAGGGAAAGAACTTTCAATTGAAGCTATCAATGGCTGCTGGCAAGCTAAGAGTTAAAGTTATTCTGGTCCCGGCGCCCGGGCCGACCCCTCTATTTTTAGTCTGGTAACTTTCCATGCTCCGAGTTTAGGTTGATACCACCTCAAACCACTTCCGATTCTCGGTGACAATGTGATGATGGCCTTGTGGCGGCCTTGCTTCTTCCTGCAAGTCTTTCCCGGCTGGCGACACTTCTGGGGCCTCTTGTGTGTCTTTTTAGAGGAGAACAACTTCGGGTAATTAACTAGACGTAATGGAGGGGCAGTCATAACCGTGTCTTATCAGAGTTGGAACGTTGATTGCTGGTTTATGACGTCCCAGACATAGTACATACTATACTAACTTATTTATTTTGGTCCAGTTTTTGGCGCTGTGGTGTGTTGTTTGGGAGAACACCACGGGTGGTGATGAAACACTCAAACACATCTTTCCGTATGATCTTTTGTTCTGACGACGCATTCGTGGGAATGGACAGACGGGATTACTTTTTAAAACAAAGGGATAGGCTCAATGAACATAGTTATCTGAATACAGTCATTTTATGATTGACTTAGTCACATATGATAATGACAATATTTTAAACTATGTAATAAACACTGAGGAGCATGAGTTATGACTGGTGTTATCTGTTAAGTGTTTCACTGTTTGCGTTCAGAAAGCAACCACCATCACATCACGCAACCCTACCCTTTTTCTCTGGAGGGGTGGTGATCGAACTGGCACAGTGCAGATTTGCCTTGTTTCCTCAAGTTGACACACTTGGCAGCAGCCTGTCATGCCATCAGCTTGTTGTTACCCTGTTCCTTTTGTCAAGAAATTCCTGTGGGGGTTTCACTACACATTTAGTTAGGGCATTTGACTGTTTTGACATTGATTCATTTCAGTTTCAGATATCCATCATTTAGTAGTTTGCCCTTGTTCAATCTTCTTATAGTAAATACTGTATAATGTTTGTAGTCTCATGTCTGTCTACAGTCTACAGCCTTCTATCTTGTTTACTTTTAGTCAGTTTTATTTATTTGACACAGAGAAACTTCTGATATCAGACTTTCTGGCATCTTCTCCTTGTATCTCTTTCCCCTCCAACTTTCCTGTCATCACGAGGTAATCTAGTTTTTCCTTCTCATGAGGTGACAAAAAATATAGGTTGTCTCCTTCTGCTGTAAACAACAGTTCTTTTTGTGAGTCAGTTTCTTTTGATATCTCTTTATTCGTTTTACTTCTATTATCTGTCCAGGGTGTTCTCATCATTCATTTGTGAAACCAGATCTGTGCCGCTCACACTTAATTTTTCACTAATTGACCAACTGTCCCTGATTCACTTCCATATATCAGGATAGAATTATATAGCTTTTGAGAATTGTCTTTCTCACCCGAATTGATTAAGAAAGATTGCATAGAATAGTCTTAATTTTGGAAAATTCTGCCTTTGTTTGAGCTGTTCTACTTCTAATTTCAATACATCTTCCACCTGCTGTTATCAATCAGGGTACCGAAGTACTTGAAAGTTATATGGATTGTCCCATTAACTTTGATGTTGCATTGTGGAAGATCTATGTTTCTTACCTCTGTACTAAAGGAGAATTTTTAGATAGTACTCTTGACTGGTCATTGACTTTTTAGTCATTAGCAGTTGGCTTATACCAATTTAGAATAAATAAATATTGACAGTTTATATTGTCGAGTGTAGAAGACAGTATCAACCTGTACTATTTATGGTGACTGCGCTTGCTATGCGGTTTTGATTCCTCAGGTTTATTCCCCCCCCCCCCATGCCTACGCCTGCCCAAAAGTCGTAAAAAACAGGCAATACTGACATTTTTTACACCAAATTATTTAACAAATGTTAACCGTTAACGCCATGTATCCCATATTCCTCAGGGGAAAAAAAACCCACTTAGTTTAGTTCATACACTCATGTCTGAGCTCTTTACTTCAGTGTAAAGTTCTAGCTATTCATCTGCCCCTGGACAGTCTTGTTTCAGGACCTGATTGTGGTGTGCACACCCATTTTACAGATCTGATATATTTGTATGCAGACTGTTGGTTCCTAGCCTCTCAGGCAGATGCACTCCGACTTTGAAGGAAGCCCCCAGTTAGTCAACTCTTACGCCATGCTTGATGGGGAGGCAGTGGGTCTATTCTTGTTTTCCTCACAATGGGGCACCATTGAGGTGGACAAACAACCATAAATTTCTGCCAGAGTTTACAGCTGGTGAACGTCACAGTTACAATGGTTTAGACGTGTATGCAGAGTGGGCGCAAAATCGGCCACCATGGCAGGCATGGGAGGCTAAGAACCAAGGAACCTGACCTTCAGGGTGCGCTGGGAAGACAACATCCGACAGTCCCTAACAGAGAGAACTGGAATGGAACAAAGCCAGAAAGAAAACTGCTGATAGAGACGTCTGGCGATCTCTCTGGCAAACATCTACACTCCAAGGTAGAAGAGGAGCGATTAAATAAGAACATGAAGAAGGAGGAGTGAACTAATTAGGGGTGTTTCCTTCAAAGTTGTAATGCATCTGCCTGAGACCAAAGCCCAGAAGTGGACAAACAACCAGAACATCTCACCAGACTTTATAGACATACAATGGGAAGAATAAGAAGAGTATGATTTACAGAAGAGATAAACATTTGTTTGGAGTTGTTTATAGAAGACTGGAATTCTTTTGGCAGTATTCTTCACAGTGAAAGTGTTTCATTTCATACGTCAGAAGGATCCAGTTCTATTGCCACTTTTGTGTCAGTGTGTGTGTGTTCAGTTATATTCTTATACTTCTTTTGTGTTTGACCTGAAAAGGCAGGTGATGTGTCAGTCAGCAATATCTGCACTTTTTGCCCAACTCTCCCAGTGTAACAAACGCCTAGTTAGCTGCCTTGGAGGACATGCTTGTTAGGGGAGCAACAGCCCCCCCCCCCCCCCCCCCCGCCCCCCCCCCCCGCCCCCCAAAAAATGGGAGCCTGGAACCAACAGCTGCAAATGAACAAACACATATGTATTCTCTAATCATCACAACTGTTGTTTTACAGCTTAACATTTGTTTTACAGCTTAACATTTGTTTTACAGCTTATCATTTGTTTTACAGCTTAACTTTTGTTTTACAACTTAACATTTGTTTTACAGCCTAACATTTGTTTTACAGCTTAACATTTGTTTTACAACTTAACATTTGTTTTACAGCTTAACTTTTGTTTTACAGCTTAACATTTGTTTTACAGCTTAACTTTTGTTTTACAACTTAACATTTGTTTTACAGCTTATCATTTGTTTTACAGCTTAACTTTTGTTTTACAGCTTAACTTTTGTTTTACAGCTTAACATTTGTTTTACAGCTTAACTTTTGTTTTACAGCTTAACATTTGTTTTACAGCTTAACATTAGTTAGGCAATGGAGTCTAGCAAAATCTCTGTGATTGCAAGCTCTACAAACTGAAACATGGCCTGTGAGCATGCAGCAAGCTGGGAGCCTCTCGTTCAATCGTCAAACAGCATGGAGCAGCAGAATCTCGACATCATCACCTCAGCTTTGTTTGGGGACAGCAGTGTCATGCTGAGTGCTGTTGCTTCACTCCTCACAAGGCATCACTGTAACAAGGTATGTCTGTTGGAAATCAATGCTTAAAAATATCCAAACTTTACTACTTTCTTCTCTGTGGACTCTCTCTAATTCTAATGAATGCCAAAATTCATGTCAAAATCGGAAAACTACCCTCACCGTGTGGGTTACCGTACCCCATTTTGGACTTTAAAAGAAGAGACCCACTGTCAACAGGCATATGGTAAAAGGTTGTTAATTCGGGTTTTTTCTTCGAAGTAGGAGTGCATCTCTATGAGAGGCCAGGAACCAGCAGTCTACATTAAGATAAGCCAGATCTGTAAAACACTAAACTCAAGGTTTTAAAAGTAGACTTATAACCAGAGTTTTCTGCCATTGAACTACGAAGAAGAAAATAGTTCTAATGGGTGCTAAAATTCATGTCAGAATTGAAAACCTATCCTTCCTTCCCTCCAATCCTTCCTGCTGCTTTTTTTCACTGTCTTTAGTAGTAACATTAGCCGAGAAAAGGCTAAAGAAGAAAGTTAGTGGATTGACATGGTCATGCTCGTCAGTCGTGTACTTTTAAAATAATGATAGTTGTAAAAGAGTACAAAGAGTTGCATGACTGTTGATGCTGAATCCATCAATCAGGTGCCTTCTCCACTATGAATGGGTTGCCGTAGATCTCCAACACATTCTATATCTAGTCTTGTTAGTACACTCTCAGATGGCTGTTTGTCCATCTCTCTATGTTGACCTCCCAGTTTTTCATCATCTACGTCCTGCATTCTTGCTTTCGACTTTTCCCACCAGTACAGTTTAAAAAAAAAAGTTATTTTCATTCCCAATCTCTTAAGAAGCTCCGTGTTCATGTTAAATAACCTTTATCAGAAAACAAACATAAAAGACTTTGGTACTCCTGTCAAATCCGGACGAAGAATAAAACGCCTTGGACGACTTAGTCAGAGTTCTCTCCCTTGGCCGCACTGCAAACAGTGATCGGAAAAGCCAACGAAACAAACGACACAAGCAACATGGCACTTAGACGCACTCACATAACTAACATCGTTCTTCCGACGCACGACTTAGTTGCCGGGAACGACTATCGTGACTGACGCTTGGCGAGGCTACAGCAACGTGGCAAACTTACGGCATGGCATCTATCTGCACGAGGTAGTAGTCCACCAGACCAACTTCGTCGACGCCGTACACAGTCACATACACACACAAACAATTGAGGGCCTCTGGATGCTGGTCAAACGCACAATTCGCCAACGATTGGGCACCAGCCGCACACTATTGGCGTCATATTTAGCAGAATTTCAGTGGCACCACGCCCACAAACATCAGATTGTCGGCCAGTATTTCGAAACCCTACGTCAAAATTTTCAAATCTAACCCTATCCCTAACCCTACCCCTAACTCTAACCCAACAACCGCATGATGACTACACAACCATTCACGATGCCTCACGCAACCGTACGCAACCCTGCACGCAACCATATGATGACCACGCATCCCTTCACGATGCCTCACGCAACCGTATGATGATAGGTAAGTGTGTCGTTTGTTTCGTTGGCTTTTCCGATCACTGTTTGCAGTGCGGCCAAGGGAGAGAACTCTGACTAAGTCGTCCAAGGCTTTTTATTCTTCGTCCGGATTTGACAGGAGAGCTAAGACTTGATGTATGTGGGTGCATTAAAAAAAAATATATGCTCTTAAATTATATCTATGATTAGTAGTTTTTCAGTAGTTTTATTTTAATTACTGTAAAGTTATTGCTGTTTCTGAGTTTAAACTTGTTTTCTGCAGGAACAACATGCTTCAGGGACACCACCCCAGTTGAACCTGACAAACACACCCAGCAAGGACTCGGCTTTGGCAGATGCCATCCTTGGCACAGCACGCATCAAATCTGGAGTGTCGAAAGCAGCTGCGTCACATGTCACAGAGGTGAGGTCACAGAATTTTCTGGTCTTGCCTGTGTACTCTTAAGCTGTTTGGTTCTATGTTCTGGTTCACATCCATGATTCCCCGTGTGGGTTCCGGGACCCCATTTTCGGGAAAAAAAGGATAGACCCACTGCCTCCTCAAAAAGCATGTTATAGGAGTCAACTAATGGGGGGCATCATTCAAAGTTGCAGTGTATCTGCCTGAGATGCAAGGAACTAAGAGTCTGCATACAAATAAGCCAGATCTGTAAAACGGATGTACATTCACCACTCAGGTTCTGGAATAGGACTAAAATTCAGAGATGGACGAACAGCCAGAACTTTCTCCTTGGGTTTAAAGCCGGAGAGCATGAAAAAAAAGATGGTGATGATCTGTTACTAACTGAGCATGTAATTATTCATAAGTACGAGAGGCTTCAAATAAAAACCTTAAAAATGTGATAGAAATTACAATAACCATGTAATTGTCTTGTTACTTGTCAGTATTGTCATTAAAGGTGAACATGATGACGCTATAATGAGAGTTTAAAGGACACTGCTCCTCTTTGGTGCATATCAAAAGTGGTGCGCCATCTTTAAACTGTCATGGCATCACCATGCTCCTCGGCACAGTAATGTCACGTGCTTAACAACGCTCTTGACATCCTAAACAAAAATACTGACAGGTTACAAGACAATGGTGTGGTTACTGTATTTTCTATCAAACTTTTTAGGTTTTCATTTGCAACCCCCTCATCGAATAATGTAAAACATTAAACCGTACTGTCATTCATGTTTGCATAGTTGCTATAAGTTCCCATAGACAGATTATGTGGAGGGATGGCAGTTTGGACAGAGCTGAAAATAATTCATTATTTTATATTTAACTACTTGCTTTCAGAATTTAATTCCAAGTTTTGAACAAGTTCATGCGCTGGCCACAGCAAATCTAGTTGCTGCAACACAGCTGGACATTGCTAAACAGTTAGCTGAAGCTAACAAGTCATCTCATGCTGTGTCTGCTGCTAAGCCATCAAAGCTGAATGCCAGAAAAGAAGCACATCAAGAGCAGCACGAGACCTGCAAGAAATCCAAGTCAGAAAACCAAAGTGAGTATATGTTCCAAATACAGTCAACTCTGCAGTATCTGGCCTAATGTTGCCGAAGGGTAGGCCAAAAAATTTTTTAAAAAAGCCTGATAGGTGTGAATTCTATGAGCGCTTCGTTTCTAACCCACCCATATCATGACAGGTAAAAAACCATCAGTCTGCTTACAAATAAGCTAGATGTGTAAAACAGATTTGCACTCAAAGCTCATGTTCTGGAACAAGACTAATGTCCAAAAGTCGATGTACAACCAAAACATTTGACCAGAGTTTACAGCCGGTGAATGCCAAGAAGAAGAAAAAGAATTTATCTATATGTCTCACCCAAAAAAAATTAACGATGTATGTAAATACATTTTAAACAAATGTGTTATGGAGCTATGCCAAATTTTGATTTTTAAAATTTATCTTATATTTTTCTGAAATTCTAACATTACCTGACAATTTGTTTTAAGTGTTTCTGGAACAAAGGATGAAGAAGAATATATGGTCTTCATTTTACATCCAAGTGGTAATCACCTGCTATAGTCTGGCATATGTGATCTTCCAGTTCACACCCAGTTGGAAGTACCTGATATTAAATTGTTTTTTTCTTCTTCAGCATTCCGAGCCCTTGAGGTTCATTGCTGCATATATCACCTGCCTCCATTCATCTCTCTGGTTGGCCTTCTCTTTTCAGTTGGTGACACCAAGTGTTTGCAGGTCTGCCTGGACATTATCTCTCTGTCGTCTTCTTGGTCTGCGACCATTCATCTCCCTTGTGTATACAGTTTTCAGACATTATCTGACACTCTCTCAATATGCCCCAAATATTTCAGTCTGTTAGCTCTCAGTAGTGATTTAAACAGATTATGAATTTCGTTGTTGCTTCTCACTCTCCATTCCCCGCTGTTTGCATCTTTGATGGGTCCAAAGATTCGTCTTAGTACTCTGTTTTCAACCTGTAATAAGGCTTCATCTCTTTTAGTTGTGCTGCAAGTTTCAGAGCCATATAAAACGACTGTCTTATCTTTTTTTTATATATTTTGATCTTAGTGTTGCTAGACAGACACTGTGACTTCAGCAGATGTTGAAGGGCATAGTTTACTTTATTTCCAGATTGTATTTCTTCTCTCAATATGTTGGAGCAGTTGAAGTTTGCACTCAAGTACTTATATGACATAACATTGCTGTGTGTTTTTAGGTGTCTCGTCTCGTTGATGTCATATAATTACTTTAGCCTGGTAATAGTTTTAATAATCTGGTAACAGTTTCAATAAATTTTTGTTGTTTAGAAAAGGTTGACAAGAAAGGAACATGTTCACAGTTAGCAGTTGAGCAGTCCATTACAGCCATTGTTGACGAAAAGTCCAGTTTTTCTGAAACAAAGGCTCTCACCTGTTCCTATGAAGGCTGTAATCGGAAGTTTGCCTGGCTCAATCATCTCAAGTACCACGAACTCACTCACACGTAAGTGCATTTCTCATTAATATTTTTTTTTCTTTTTCTTAATGATAATTACAAAGAAAACTGACCCTCCGAAATGCAGTATCAAAGTAAGTGGGACAAACCTCAAGAAAGTTGATATGTTTAAGATTTTGTATACCCTGATAACATCAGATGGAAGATGTATTAAAAACGTTGAATGTTGAATAGCTCAAACCCCCCGTGTGGGTTCCGGGGCCCCATTGTGGGGAAAACAAGAATAGACCCACTGCCTCCCCAAAAGCATGTCTTAAAAGTCGACTAATTGGAGAGCTTCCTTTGAAGTCGGAGTGCATCTGCTGGAGAGGCAAGGAACCAACAGTCTGTATTTAAGAGAATGAGATCTGTAAAACTGATGCACACGCAACACTCAGGTTATGGAGCAGGACTGCAGTTCAATAGTGGACAAACAACCAGAACCTTTCGCCAGAGTTTACAGCTGGTGAACGCGAAGAAGAAGAAGAAGAATAGCTCAAGCAAAGGCAGCATTGTGCAAAAAATTTTATGCAACCTCTGTCAATTGAGCTGAGAAGGAGAATTCTTAAAAGCTATATAAATCCTGTATTGAGCGTATACGGATGTGAATCATGGACAGTTAGTAAATTATTGAAAATTATTTGAAAGCTGTTGAGGTGTGGTTTTATAGACGAATGGTGAGAATACGCTGGAGAGATAAAAAGAGTAATGAAGACATCTTGAGAGAAACTAAATTAAATAGAGAATTTATTGCCCATATCAGAAAAAGACATTCTACATTCTTTGGTCATGTTATGAGAAGGAGAAAACAAGAGTACATTGTGACAGTAGGAAAGTTCTAGGGCAAGAGAGGGAAACAGAGAGAACAGATGCTGGATGGTTTGGCATCATGGCATGGAAGATCATCTGTGTCAGAGTTGATTGAAAGTACATGAGATAGAAGGTTGTGGAGACATGACTACCAAGGCACACACGGCATGGTCTTTAAGAAGATTCTTTTTGTTCTTTTCATTCACCTTATTTCTTTTCTGCCTCTAGGCCTCCATCTTCTGCCTTTGATGTCCTAGTGAAGCATAAATCCTTTAACCATCTGGTTCGATTGATCGATCAGTTTGTCCCCTTGGGGCTGCTACATAAAGAATTTTAAAAAACTAAGTTTGGATGGCAGACCAGGAAGGCAGGTTCCAGATATCCATTGCAACCGGCAAAGAAGTTTTAGTTAGTGCAGCCACAACGACCACACGTGTAATTCTGTGTGGGTACGGATAACCAGCTGGTGTAAAGCCTCTTGGAGACTTCATGATTGGTTTCAATTTGCAATTGAAGTTTTTTAGTAGGGAAAAAGTAACTAGCTTCCTGCCAACTTTCCTTAATTGCTCCTTGGGACTTTTGGGGGTACAGATGAGCAGCCCTGACATAAAGTTTATAATGTGATTTGGTTTTCTTTCTGTGCATACAATACATTCATCATTAGGTAGCAAGTCCTTTACGGACAGTCGCTCTCATTACAGCTGGTCTGAAAGAAGCCCAGTCTTTCGCCGGATCTCCCACCTCATGCACTTTCCTACCCAAGAGTCACTTATATCTTCTCGCTGGTGGGCCCCTGCCCCTGTTTTGTGGCACTTGATATGGCCAAAATATTAGTTTCCAAGACGTATTACCATAGATTACTTTATTGATGTGTTTGGCCAAGCTCTGCTTTTATACTAGGGTATGTTATTACTAATTCTTATTGTTATATATTTTTTAAAATCACAGCAATAACCGGCAATTTAAATGCCCAGAGGATTCGTGTGGTAAAACTTTTTTCACTGCACAGCGTCTCAGTGTCCATCAGCGAACACATACCGGGGAGAAACCATTCAGGTGTCTCCACCAGGATTGTGGTAAAACATTTACGACAGCTGGAAATCTGAAAAATCACGAACGCATTCACACTGGTAGGTTTTTGTGTTTTTGTTGTTGCATTATCTTTCTTTCTCATCTGAGATGTTACAACTAGAGTTGTCTTTGTTTAAAAAAAAAGTCTGGATAAAGTAATGATATTAAAATAAAAGTCTTATTGCAAATCCTGCCATAGGAATGAGGTGTTTGAAGGGGGGGTGTCCGTGGCAAAGGGGTCAAGCCATTAGCCTTGTGCTCTAAACATCACTGGTTTTTTTCACAGTTGTGTTGTTTAGTTCACAACTGCTATTTTTACTGAGACCTCCAGGGATCATCACAGGAGCTACAGAGTTCATGCTTTATGCGACACTCCTTGCAGGTGGCTAGCTGTTCTGAGGATAGAAACTGAGCCATATGGGATAGGAATAAAACCAGTGCAGTGAGGTCAATCCTAGCAATTTGAACTTTTCTGCTTTATGAATGTGGATTGATAGACATTAACACAAAGCACAAGGAGATGGTGGCCACCAGGTGCATGATGTGTTGTCTAATATCTGCTTCCCTCATGTGTGTTATTGGAGCTCATAAGGGAAGCAAAGAAAAGTAACAATGGAACCTACCATACACGTTGGCAAAAATGAATAAGAATGGTTTAAAAAGTGTTGTTACAAAATTTAATGAATCATGAGCAGCAGTGATCAGTTTGGTTTAGCACTTATGTTCGTCTGGATGACATAAAGCAGAAGAAGAAATCTGCTTCGTATTATTTATCTGAAAAAAAAGTGCCAATAGTTACCAGTGACTTTATTTTTTATATTGTTTTAGTGACCAGAAGAATCTTAAATGACTGCGTAAGTATCTTTGTTATAAATAATAACACACCTTTTATTGTGGACAGGTGAGCAGCCGTTTGTATGTGATCATGTCAACTGCAGTCGTCGATTCACAGAACAGTCTAGCTTACGTAAACATAAACTTACTCACTCTGGTAAGCACAAGGTTAGCTGCTAGGGGAAATTGTTTGTATATTGTGAACTCTTTCTGTCTTAGGTTTTACAGTACTTTAAGTGTTTTTATATTGTGAACTCTTTCTGTCTTAGGTGGAGGTTTTCAAGCGCTGTGCTGCAGAGGCCAAAAGAGCAAAGTGGGAAACTTTTGCGAATGACATGGGAGGTGATAAAACATTGGTTAAATTCTGGAAACTGCATAGGCAGATGCAAAGAAAAGATCAGCCTATGACAGTCGGAACAATTTGTAGAGACGATGGTGTGCGTGTGACAACAGACAAGGAGAAAGGGGAGGCCTTTCTCCATAGGTTTATAGCTCAGACAGATCATAATGATTAGAAATCAGGGATGCAGTTAGAAAGGAGTTAGCTGGGCACCTTGAAAAATATGCATATGAAGACAATGATACAAGTGGAAGATATCAAACAAATTTTGAAAAAAGCAAAAGACACTGCACCAGGGCCTGGTGGTGTCAGGTATGGTCACATAAGGCTTTGAGCGATGTAGAACCTGGCGGAGATGGCCGACTGTTTTAACCAGAGTATTAAGACAGCATCAGTACCCGCAAGACTGGGTGCACAGCTATCTAATCCCACTTCCAAACTCCTTTTAAAGATCATACAAAAGCTTAGGGGCTTTAGAATCATCACCGTAAAAAACACATTTGGAAAAGTCGTGGAGAAGATAGTTGCTGTAAAGTTACAGAATTTTGGAAAGGGGGAAGCTTCTCCCAAGAGGTCTGGGAAGTTACAGGCCAGGAAAGGACCCTTGGGCAAATGCGGCCACTTTTGCGTTTGACGTCTATGAAGGGTTCTAGAACAGACAGGAAACTATGGCGGTAGGACTGGATCTCGAGGATGCTTATAACAGAGTGAGATATGACATCTTAATGACTGCACTGAGGGAGAAAGATGTCAATCCATGGCTGGTGAATTGGGTTGCAGCTGTCCTGTATTCACGTCGGGTTGCTGTCCGACTGGGCTCATGGACCTCTGAACCATGCACTTTGGCCCCAGGACTGCCACAGGGATCCGCCATCTCGCCTGTGCTCTTTCAACGTGTATACGAGCAAGATTGCAAGCCTAGAAGCACCAGGAGTTGGAAGGATACTGACTTTTGCGGATGATATACTTGCATACAGGCAGGGGGAAGAGAGGGAGCAAACAGCCCGGGAGCTACAAGCGACAGTAGACAAAAGTGACTGAGTGGTGTACAGAAATGAAGGCTGTCCATCACACCGGAAAAGGCGTCTGTTTTTTGTGGTGTTCTCTGGACAACAGAATCGTTAAAACTAATGTCTCAAGTCTCACGATAGATGGTAGAGACGTCAACAGAGAGAGCAAACTGAAGTTTCTGGGAATTACATTTGACAGGAGCCTGTCATTTAAGGACCGTGTGGAGAGTGTTGTGACGAGATGCCAAAAAGGACTTAGTGCACTTAAGACTATGGCTGCAATTGACATAGAGCAGAGAATGCTTTTCACACTATATCAGCACCTGATCCTGTCAGTGGTGGATTATGGCCTGGGACTGCTTACCGTCTCAAAGAGTCAGATGGACAAACTAGAGAGCATACAGAACGCGGCTATGCGGGTCATTCTGGGTTGCACCAGAGACACCCCAGTAGTGTGTATGCGATACATCCTTGGTTTGCCGACGGTTGCAGGTAGGCACAAGGTGATGCAGGCGAAGTCATATCTTAGGGTAGCTGCAGACACAGACCACCCTCTGCATGAAGCTCTGGGTGCAGTTAAGGGTCAGCGGCTGATAAGAGGGAGGTCATGGACGTCTCAGACAGAAGACACAATCAGACAGGTTTGCATCCTTGAGAACATTAAGCGAGGAGAGGAGTGGGTCAAAGTGCCACCTGAGCAGTCAGACTTGTGTAGAGTCATAATCACGCTGAGCCGGGAATGCAGAGACTGGCCAGCAGTTGCCACAGAGGTGGAAATTCAGCAATTAATTCAAGATAATGCTCGCTCAGAGGATTTGATCATTTACACAGACGGTTCAGTGTCAAGAGGCAAAAGAAGTGCTTGGGGCTTTTTAGCAAAAGTTAATGGTCGACGTTTGGTTCAGCAGAGGATATCATATGATACCACAACATCCAGCTTAAGAATGGAGGTGGAGGAGGTCACTGCAGCTTTCCGCTGGCTAGAGAACACGACACACACACACATTGTAATTGTAACTGATTCAGAAAGCATGCTGAGGAAGATTAGAACAGGTATGCTTCGTGCAGAGTGGCATGCTTCGCTGAGGAGGACACGAGTGAGGGGTATTGTCTGGATGTTTTCACCGGGTTACGCCGGTGTGTTGGGAAATGAACAGGCGGACAGACTGGCTGGCTCTGCACAACTTGGTGGAATACTGCTACATGATAGGGCAGACGTGGTTAGTGCCTTGTGGGAGAGCGTGTACAATGCGGAGGAGCAGATGGATCACCACAGTTTGGTGAGATTGATGCAGTTGGGGGTGACGAGAGGTTCTGGCAGAAGCTCAAGGCTCAGAGGAAAGGCAAGACGGACATTTATTCAGAAAGCTACTCGCACCATTAGTATCGGAACTCTTCGCTGGCTGCTGAAGATGGAGACGGAGCGCTTATGGGAATCCCCCGGGTGCTGTGATGTCGGTTCTTGAATCAAATCAATCAAATCAAATCTGTCTTAGGTTTTACAGTACTTTAAGTGTTTTTATATTGTGAACTCTTTCTGTCTTAGGTTTTACAGTAGTTTGTGTTTGTATATTGTGAACTCTTTCTGCCTTAGGTTTTATGGTAGTTTGAGGGTGGGAATAACCGCTGTAAATATGAGCTTCTTTTCAAGCCACCAAATATGCAGCAGAAGTGGCCACTGGCAAGGCAGGATTGGTTAATAATGCTCTGACCGAATGTGAAAAGTAAAAGAACATTTTATGCACTGTTTGGGATTCAAGGGGAAGATCCAGTCACACGTAATTAATGAAGCACATATTTAGTCTGTAGTTTTCTTTTGATGGTCATTTCGGGTCATTTATTTCTCTGGTAAATTCATCTACCCTTTTATTTTGTCCTATACTTTATTTACGATTTATTGTATTCCCCCCTGTTGTGGCTTCTAAGATCCCTGTTTCGGGTAGGGAAATAGACCTACTGTCCCCACCCTCTCCACATGCATGTCATAAAAGTCGACTTATTAGGGGTATTTCCTTTGAAGTGGGAGTGCATCTGCCTGAGGGGTGAGAAACCAACAGTCTGCATACAAATAGGTCACATCCCTACAAGGGATGTTCATGTAAAACTCAAGTTGTGGAACAAGACCAAAATCTGTGAGTGGATGAACAGCCAGAACTTTTCTGCCTGAGGATACAGCTGGTGAATGCAAAGAAGATTCCTTGTATTTAAAGCTGTGTATGTTTCTGCTTTTTCCCCCTGGTTGTTTCTGAATGACTGGAAGGTGGAAAGCTGTGCATCACAGTCCCTGTTTAGATGGGGCTTTGGTAACAGGTCAGGAGAATCTCCCAACCAGTTTCAGTTTGGTTGAGGCAAGTCTTCTTTACAGCCCAGACAGCACCACCAATGCATTGGAGTTTCATTCCATTCACAACTGTCTGTCTGCACACATTTACACATGTCTGTGTGTTGATGTTAAAGAGATAGTGGAGCTAACAATGTATATCCCCGCTGTGAAGTGTCACTCCACACGGCCATGTGAACACTGCTTTCACTATCCATGTTTGAAGTAATTTATGCTGTTATATTTCTTCAAAAATTAATTTTAATTGTTAAATCTGACTTTCTCCACATTACTTGAATGTCTGGTCTTTGTGATCATTTCCAGTCGAATTATGCTTCTGCCGCTCATTTTCATTCTCTCTAATTTGTTATGCCAGGGGATAAACCATTTGAGTGTAAAATCTGTGGCAAGAAGTTCACCCAGAGCGGCAGTCGACGACAGCATCTGATACGTCATCACTTGGACGATGAGATCAGACACAGCTTTAAGCAGGAGGGCACAGAGAAGGATGTCGAGGAGGATGATATGGTCAGTGACGAGAGGAAAGAGGCAATCAGAACTAGCACCAGTTGTAGCCATGCCTTACAGACAGACCCAGTAACAATCAGTGCAGTCTCCTGCTCACCACAAGTCTTAGTGCTCAACAATACCTACCCAAGTCAGTATTTGTTGTTGTTTTTTTTTTTTTTTTTTGGCTTGCATTTTTTTCAAGTCTAGGTTGTGTGGCATTGGTGATTGTCTATCCAAAACCTTGTGTCTTGTGTGCTGTCAGTCATATGTAATGTCAATTTCTTGCATGCTCTAATGCCAACCTATCTCATATCTTCATTCTTTATCTTCTCCCTCTGTTTTCTGTCCACTTTAACTTTAAGGTTGTCACAGCAAACTCCATGTTTTACACTTTTCACAGTGTGTTCACAGAATGTGACTTGTATGTTCTGATATAGGTAATAAGTTTTTCTTTGTCAGTTAAATGATTTCAATAAATCTTCATAACACTTTAAAAAAAAAAATAATGATTTTATTATTCTTCTCTAAGAATGTAAGGCCTTGATTGCAGAATATACTGTTTAATCGCACAAGAAGAAAATCCAGGTCACAAATTAAATAATTAACAGAGTAAAGACTCAAAGAGTGTGTCAGATAAATATCTGGGCCTGTATTGGTGAAACCTCTCTCCAGAAGGCGAAATCCTAGGCATATTTAGGGCATGAAAAGTGATCTGCAGGAGATGGTAGAAGATAGGAGAACTAGGCGGTAGTTGGTTGGTTATTTGATATGCTCCATTGTGAAATATCTGGTCCTAACCAAATTTGAAAACACTAGAAACCAGACTTGTTTTAAAGACTTCTTAACTTCACTTCTTCCTTTTCTTTGTGTTCACCTGCTGTAAATTCTGGTGGAAAGTTCTGGGTGTTCATCTATTTCTGGACTTTTAGTCTTGTTCCAGAACCTGGGGTTTGTGTGCACAATTATTTAACAGATCTGGTTTATTTTTATAAACAGACTGTTGGTTACTTGCCTCTCAGGCAGATGCACTCTGACACTGAAAAAATCCCACATTTAGTTGACTCTTACGACAGGCTTATTGGGGAGCCAGTGCATCTATTCTTGTTCTCCCCACAAAGAGGTTCCAACACCCACACGGGGAACAAAGATGTTCAAGACTGGTACTTAATTTCACATCCACTGAGAGGCATATTATGATGCAAGCTATGGATCACCACAGCTCGTACAGAGTGCAGTAGTAGTTGGAGGTTGTGGGTTTAAATCAGCATGGGGCCAGATTTTTTTTTAAACATGACTGTAGCTGCCAGGTTAGCTCAGTTTCAAATAAGTATCAGGTAGAGTCCTGGGAAGTAAAGGTGGCCGGTGTGATGTTGACCATATCCCCCATCTTGAGCCAAATGGTCTATAAAAATGGGAGTTTAGCAATATTAAAACAATTAGACGTAGACAGTGTTTTTTGGGACATGTTAGGAGAAGGAATGGTCTTGAGGACTTGGTGACAGCTGGCAAGATTGATGGAAAGAGAACAAGAGGAAAGCAAACAGATAAATCTCTGTCTGCTTGGGCAGATGGGTGGGGCGAGACACAAATATTGACCTGATCTGTGGTTCTGGTGATAGTTTGAGATGATGAAACATGACAGCCTATGCTTGCTGGCATGGTACATGATGATGATGATGAAAAGCCTTTCAGTTTAAGTCATGCTGCTGTTTTGTTGTCCAGGTTTATCAAGCGCAGAATCCATTGTTCTCTCGCATGGATTGAGTGACCATTTAGTGACAGTCAAATCAGAAGTATTGGATCATCCAATGGGCGAACCACAGAGTATTTCTCTCTCACACACGCTGCTGTCATCGAATGGTAAGTTCTCACATATTTGCTATTTTTCTGCATCAGGTAAGGAAATACCGGGTTTGATATTAATCATATTTGCACTGGGTGTCTGTTTACAGTAGAACTGATATTTGCTCCATTGGGCAGACACATCTTCTATCTGGCATCAGGTGTCCAAGTTGACCTTCCTGGGTAGTTCTGTTGTACATGCCACTATGGGTGTGGTGTCATCTGAGTGTCTGTTATATCTGCATGAGGTGTGCTGCAGGAGGTGGGGGATGAAGACATAGGGCACCCATTTGGGGACGCCGACTCAAAGGGGGACCTCTTGATGCTAAACCTTGTTTAAGTGTGCAAAAATAATGATAATGGGCTAAATGGATAACAAAAAATATATATTTTAAAATAGTATGAAATGTATTTCCCATGTGGGTTCCGCGGCCTTATTATTGGGAAGACAAGAACAGACCCACTGCCTTCCCAGCAAGCATGTCATAGGAGTCACTTATTGCTTGCGTCCTTTAAAGTCGGAGTCCAACTGCCTGCGAGGCAAGGAACCAAAAATCTACATACAAATAAGCCAGTTGTGTAAAACGGATGTACACAACACTCATCAGGTTCTGCAACAAGAATAGTGTCCAGAGGTGGACATAACACCAAGAACTTTCTGCTAGAGTTTACAGCCTGTGAACACGAAGAAGATAAGGAAGAAAAGTTATGAACTGTATAACGATCTATACATGGTTAGGTGTCTGCTAGGCTGACTTACAAATTATCACCCCCCACCCCCTTCCCCCCATTAAAAAATTTAGTGGGGTGGGGTGTTGCTAGGTGGTTTTGTAACCAGAGGACCTTACCACTCACTTCCTGGGTTTCTGTGCCATTGGCATAATATGTACTATTTCATGAAACTGAATTATTTGGTAAGTCCATCAGATAGTAGTTCACTAACAATATCTGTTCAGTCTATTGAAAGAGGTGTGGCAGGAATGCTTTGATCAGAAGCCAGATCAGCATGCTGGAGAAATTATATTAGACCCATGTGTTCTTTGACTGAATGACACACCAAGGGCAGTATGTAGCGTGGTGATTTCTGTCACAGGCGTGAGGGAAAGTTAAGGCTGTTATGTGTATCTTCTTCTTAGTTCACCGGCTGTAAGCTCTGGCAGAAAGTTCTGGTTATTCGTCTATTTGAACTTTAGCTTTGCACGAGGGCCTGAGTTTTGCGTGTACATCCGTTATACTGGGTAGTTGTTTGTTCCTTGCCGCTCAGGCAGATGACCTCTGATTTCAAAGAAGCCTTCTAGACATTTCATGTGACATGCTTGTTGGGGATGCAGTGGGTCTGTTCTTTCTTTCCCCCCCCCCCCCCCAGTATTGAACTCACACAGGGAATTATGTGCTTAAAGAGATACTCCATACTTCACCTTGGGCGCCAGCAGGCATTGTGCTGATTTTACAGCTCCTCATGCAAGACTCCTGCCAGACACCCTTGTTGTGTGCTACAGATAATGGGTCATATAGGCCTAAATCGAGCTGGTAGGGGATCTTGGAGTTGGTGGCCCCAGAGATGCAGTGGCTAGAAATCCTCTCGCTCTAATCAGCAACCCCCCCCCCCCCCCCCCCCACCTCCTCCAGTGCATAGGTGAGAATGTCTATCAAAAATGCATTTGGAAAATGTGTGAAACCCACTGGCTGATTATCCTAATATATGACAAACCTTGGTTCAAATACATGTCAACTGAAAGGCCTACTAAATTACTGCAGGAGATTTGTGTGCATATTTGATGAGCAACATCTCTTGTGGGAGGTATTTCAATGTTTGTCCCAACGGCATTTGTCCGATCATCAGTAATCACAACACAGCTGGATTCTGTTGTCATTCACTCAAAATCTAAACCTGTGCTATCTGGTATTGTTTATTGTCTTCATGCTTTGAAAACAGAAATGACTGACTTTGCTGGAGAAGCAAATAATGGATATAATTTACTAACTTTTAATTGTATATTGTCAAATAGGATTCCATGATGCAGTGCTGCATGGGAAGTCTGATGACTTTGTGGTCCTGTCCGAGGCTCCTATTTATGATCATGATGACAGTCCGGCAGACATTGTGTATACTACAGATACACTAGACCATGAGGAGGTTACTCATGCTGACTATGTCAGTTCTCATATAGACTACACAGGGGAGTCAACTCATTCAAACTACTCCAGTCATAGGGGGATAACTCACAGTGATGACTTTACACATCCAGAGTTCTCTCACCCCGACAACTACATCACTCATGCAGGTGATATTGCTGTGGCTGAGTATGTGGCGGCCGAATGTGTGCAGCAGGACAGCGGCTTCACCGACTCCAAATCTTTGCCACACTCGTATTTAGATTCAGACAGAGATGTAGTACATACAGAATTCATTGGTGCCGAGGAGGTTACCACAGCTCAGCATTCAAGTAACCCTGGTTCAGATCCGTCCTTCATTGAAAATTCTTCTTTAGAGTGTAGACAGGCAAGAGCATTAACAGACTATGTGCGTAATCACTATCCGGGGAAACTTGACAGCTTCACTTTAGGAAAAGCCACTTTCATTGGCCACCCTTCCTGTCATCTGGACTCGTCATTCATGTTGGATTCAGCTGCATCGGATACTGGTCATTCATTGGTGGTTGTTGAGGTTACAGGCCACACTTCCCAGATCATCCATGCAGATTCTGTGGGTAGGAGCATGCGCATGGATCCCTTGATGGAGTGTGATGAAGAACCTGACAGACATCATTTTTTACCTGTTTCATAGCTCTGTACCTGTTTTTCCACTTTCCACCTGTCCCCTGAGATTGTTTACCTGTTTCATAGCTTTAAACCTATTTCTCAACTTTCTACCTGTCTCCTAAGATTGTTTACCTGTTTTATAGCTTTATACATGTTTCTCAACTTTCCACCTGTCTCCTGAGATTGTTTACCTGTTTCATAGCTTTATACCTGTTTATCCACTTTCCACCTGTCTCCTAAGATTGTTTACCTGTTTCATAGCTTTATACATGTTTCTCAACTTTCCACCTGTCTCCTGAGATTGTTTACCTGTTTCATAGCTTTATACCTGTTTATCCACTTTCCACCTGTCTCCTGAGATTGTTTACCTGTCTCAACTTTCTTGTTTAGTAGGCCCAGTAACATATTCCTGTTTCTCAAACTGTTACCTGTTTTCTAACTTTCACTATGCTTTTAATTGTTTTTAGATGTAAACCTCTCTGTTCGTTTGATATTTGACAAAGATGAATTTGATTGTATTGTGTATTGCCAAGTGTTTAACCCAGTTGCCACTAGAAACCACAAAACCAACACTTCCAGTTGGGTCCAGTTCCCCATAAAAATTACCAGTCCCATTTGTCTAGGATGACATGGTTATGAGATGCATAGTTAATGCTATTGACGGTGTTTGCACCTGGGCAGACGCTTCGGCCAGGATATTAATATACTGGCTAAAAATATCATTTAGGAATGTTTTCTTAAATAAATATCACATTGTGTTTGTGTGAGAGAGAAAATTCAGGATTTGAAATGGGGGACAAAAGACATACCTAGATAAGCATATTGTGTATGTAGATGTGATATAGTTTGTGTGTCTGCCAGAGAGAACTAATGATTAATATGACAGTTCCAGACAAGCTAACATAAGCAGACTGTGTGTGCTGAGGTGAGATAAACTGAGCCTGTGTGAAAAACAACCACAGTGAGATAAAAATACATTTGTGCTATGCTAGAGCCATGATTGACTGTCATGTCTTCGTTTTCATCTGGACAATATTTCTTGGTGTCAAGAAATTGCTGTTATGTTAGACTTGCCAGTCTGTTCTCATATAAGTCATTATATACACTATTTTCTGTGCTAGCAGTACATAGCAGTGAATAAGTGCTTCTTTCCTCTTGCTGTTTGCAACAAAAATGTGTCCATTGCATAATGTATTGTCTTATTAGTGTCATTCTATAATGGTATCCAGTTATTTGCAAACGAAAATTTATTGTGTGTGTGAATTGCACAAGATTTTAAAATATTAATTTGATTGATGTAGCCACACTTTACAATTTGTTTTCAAAAATGTTCAGTCTCAAGGTGATATTCACTTCATTGAGGTGAAAGTAAAGGTATATGTTCAGTCTCAAGGTGATATTCACTACATTGAGGTGAAAGTAAAGGTATATGTTCAGTCTCAAGGTGATATTCACTACATTGAGGTGAAAGTAAAGGTATATGTTCAGTCTCAATGTGATATTCACTACACTGAGGTGAAAGTAAAGGTATATATTCAGTCTCAAGGTGATATTCACTACACTAGAGGTATGAGTCATTCATTCCAAGTTATTTGAAAGTAAAGGTGTATGTTCAGTCTCAAGGTGATATTCACTACATTGAGGTGAAAGTAAAGGTATATGTTCAGTCTCAAGGTGATATTCACTACATTGAGGTGAAAGTAAAGGTATATGTTCAGTCTCAAAGTAATATTCACTGCATTGAGGTGAAAGTTAAGGTACTTGAAAGAAGCTATTTTCATGTCCTAACCCTGTTACTCTAAGAAAGCAGTTTTTCTGGACATTAACAGGTTTTTGGTGTTTCTGGGCACACAACACTACACCAGTATAACGGCTGCATAGTGTCAATACATGGAGGGTGTGATTATATTTACCCCCCCACCACAATCAGATATTGTTTGTGTTTTTAAAAAAATCACAGAAAAAAATTCTTACCTTATTCTCATTATGACGTTACTTCGCTGTGCATGGCTAAGCCAAAAAATTGACGATTATTATGATCAAAGGGAAGGAAAGCGGTTAATTCTCTGTGTTTGATGATTATTTCCCTTACCTAAAATAGTTATTTTACTCATGTGAATTAAGAACTAACTTGAATTGTTTTAGGGATTTGGTGGCCATCACGCTTGCTTGACTGCTCAGTGGTTTAGGTTTGACACCCCCTTTTCTCTGGATTTTATAACAACTGACCAAGACTCAAAATTGTTTCTGCTGCTGCTTCTCCTATAGTTTCTGTGAGTAGAGTTTCAGAGAATATAAAGGATGCATTTCTTCTAACAAAATTTGGAAACAACTTTTTTGTTTGTTCAAGACTCTTACCAAAAACTCTTGGAAAAGGGACAGAAACCATCAGGAATTCACTGCAAAAATATTCTTCATAAAAAAAAAAAAATCAACCATTTCACACAGATCACTGATAAATAAAAAAAAATGTACATTGCATTTTTTTCTTAAAAAATATTCAGGATGTAATCAGTAAATGTCAACTGAGTGAAGCATAAAAGGACCTAAAAAAATATCGAGTCATATTATGACCTTGTCGGAGTTCTAACATTAAGGCCAAAAGCAAATTATGTCAGAATTACTTTAAAAAAGCTATTTTGTCAGCAAGACCTTGCCGCCCCCCCCCCCCCCCCCAGATGCTATTTGTAGTACATATATTCATATCCTGACCTCCTTAACACTGTGCAGATGCAAACACAACCAGTGATGTTAACTAGGGCTCTCAGGGACATAACGTCAGCAGTCCTGTGTAAGTGCATTTATGGGATTGAGTCACTGGTGGAAATTCCTGGGCATCTCAGGCAAGAAGGTTGAGGCTGACTGAGCAGATAGGGTCTGTATTTATAGACAGATTGGCATGGAAGCTCCCAGTTTAGGGCCGTGTGTCAAGAGGCAGGATTAAATACATATCTGGGTATCAGTGTTTATCGCCTGTTTTTGAAGGTAGAAAATATTGCCATTTGACTGTTGTGGCCATTTTCTGCATGTTATTATTGTACAGCCATCAGATGCCATTGTTGTGAGAATTTTGATGTAGCAGTCTAGCATCAGTATATGTCAGAAAATAACACAGATAAGTGATTTTTAATAATATTGAATAAAAACTGTTCATCTTGTATGTGATTTATTCCCATCATGTGCTTCAATTCTCTGACTTTCTCTGTGAGCTTGCTTGTGTTTGTCATATTCCATGTTTGTGTGTATTTGTCTTTATATTTGTCAAGTTCCATGTTTTGTGTGTATTTGTCTTTGTGAGCTTGTATTTGTCATGTTCCATGTTTTTGTGTGTATTTGTCTTTGTGAGCTTGTGTTTGTCATATTCCATGTTTGTGTGTATTTGTCTTTGTGAGCTTGTGTTTGTCATGTTCCATGTTTGTGTGTATTTGTCTTTGTGAGCTTGTGTTTGTCATATTCCATGTTTGTGTGTATTTGTCTTTGTGAGCTTGTGTTTGTCATGTTCCATGTTTTTGTGTGTATTTGTCTTTGTGAGCTTGTGTTTGTCATTTGTGTGTGTGTTGTGTGCTTTTTTTGTCTCATTTATTGATTTTTTCGCATTCAGGTCTGCAGTGGCCAGTGTTCAGTCACCTCCGTTTGTATTGATGTTGTTTGTGTGTATTTGTCTTTATATTTGTCAAGTTCCATGTTTTTGTGTGTATTTGTCTTTGTGAGCTTGTATTTGTCATGTTCCATGTTTTTGTGTGTATTTGTCTTTGTGAGCTTGTGTTTGTCATGTTCCATGTTTTTGTGTGTATTTGTCTTTGTGAGCTTGTGTTTGTCATATTCCATGTTTGTGTGTATTTGTCTTTATATTTGTCAAGTTCCATGTTTTTGTGTGTATTTGTCTTTGTGAGCTTGTATTTGTCAAGTTCCATGTTTTTGTGTGTATTTGTCTTTGTGAGCTTGTATTTGTCATGTTCCATGTTTTTGTGTGTATTTGTCTTTGTGAGCTTGTATTTGTCAAGTTCCATGTTTTTGTGTGTATTTGTCTTTGTGAGCTTGTATTTGTCATGTTCCATGTTTTGTGTGTATTTGTCTTTGTGAGCTTGTATTTGTCAAGTTCCATGTTTTTGTGTGTATTTGTCTTTGTGAGCTTGTATTTGTCAAGTTCCATGTTTTTGTGTGTATTTGTCTTTGTGAGCTTGTATTTGTCAAGTTCCATGTTTTTGTGTGTATGATTTGTCTTTGTGAGCTTGTATTTGTCATGTTCCATGTTTTGTGTGTGTATGATTTGTCTCTGTGAGCCTTATATTGTGACCCAGCCACTATGATGGTTTTCATTTATTGATTTTTCCATTCAGGTCTGCAGTGGCCAGTTTCAGTCACCCCGAACTTTTGACCAGTAAACTGGCAACCCGTTTACCTTCTATCTATAATTTACAGCAAATACCTGATAGCTGAATGATGTGCCGCTTGGGCTCGTTAAATATATTAGTTGAACTGGGTATCCTAAAAATTTGACAATCGGTACTTCTAGTCATATAGCTATGATCAACAATACAGGGTAGTTTTGACTGACCGACATCTTGCCCGGGACTACGGGAAACTAGAATGGGTGCGATAGCAATGTGACTTGATTTCAGACGGAAGAGGACAACATCTTTCTTTAGCTGAAAACGGGACAACCCACCAACAATTTCAGCTTTAAAAAAAACCGGGACATCCCACTAATATTTTGAGCTGAAAACGGGACAACCCACCAACAATTTCAGCTTTAACAAAAAAACCGGGACATCCCACTAATATTTTGAGCTGAAAACGGGACAACCCACCAACAATTTCAGCTTTAACAAAAAAACCGGGACATCCCACTAATATTTTGAGCTGAAAACGGGACAACCCACCAACAATTTCAGCTTTAAAAAAAAAAAACCGGGACATCCCACTAATATTTTGAGCTGAAAACGGGACTTTCCAAGCAACTCAGTTTTAAAAAGTCCGCCTCCGTCAGTAAGCAAACCCACGACCTTCCAGTCCGCAGGCGGGCGTCTAGCCGCCAACGCCACAGCGACTCCATCACACACTGGGTAGAAATGCACGAACTCACTGATTGATATTAAATATGATAAACAAACAGATCGGCACTTATACAAGAAACTGAGATTAACCAGGTCAGCTTGCTGCTCCTGGTTTAACTAGCTCATCAAAGCTGTTTTGTAGAAAGAAAGAAAAAAGAGAGGGGGGGGGGGGGGGTTCATTGTTGCATGCTGACATAAGTTAAAATAACATCTGACTGCGATTAAAAGAATTAAAGAAAGCCTTTGACACCAGGTGTATTCAGTGTTGAACAATGTTATGATATCACAGCCGACGTCTTTGCACATTGGGCATCCCATGCCCAGTCCTCAGATGCAGCAGTCACTCCATGGTACTTATACTGATTGTTCTCATGAGTTGGTTATAGCATCTCCTGTCTTTACCTTGAAGACGGCATAGACGTGCTTCACAAAGCTGAGCAAAGTCTGAGGTTCGCCGTTAACCCTAACCCAGTCCTTACAGCGTTGATGATATCAGCTCTGTCCATGCTTCATAGTGTCTGCATTGGTGCATTTCTTGCTAGCAGATCAGCTCTTTCATTACTATTTACTCCAGTGTGCCCAGGTGTTTAGATCCAGATAATGAAAATTAACTGAATTTCGAATGCTTTCTATCCATTCGGATCGGAGACTCTCTGTAGCTATTTTATGAATCTGTCTGGAATGATTACAGTATGTTTGGCCGCTTGTTCTGCTACCCATAGAGTGCTCTAGAAGCAGCAGTTTCCATGGTCATGCTTGTCGTAGTTGTCTGGTAAGCACCACTATATTCTTTTAATGTCTTGTCCGCGCTTTACGGACCCATCAATGTTAATGGCGACTTCTGGGCATGAATGCTTATCAATCAGTGCCCTAATCTCGGCCGGTATCTGACTCCTGCATTAACTCCCCAGTGTTATGACAACTTTAGACAAGTCATGCATTTGTACTGGTGTATCCGTCTATTCTTTTCCGTGACTGATCTCGTCTAGGTCACATACTTGCTTGATCAGATGTTTTGCCTCGGTCATCCAAGAGAAGCCTTTTTTCAGACGCATCTCTTTTATATCATTGATAGCGCTGTGCAGTGGGTGTTGATTTCTGCTATATCTTCATGTACGCTTTCAACAGTGCCACTTTGTCTGTTGGCCATCGTCGATAAACCCAGGACATACGTGGCATGAGGTGTCTTTTGTGCAGCCGATTATGAGTCACATGGCTTCATTTAGTAGCTGGTCCCGTCTTTCTAGCTGGGTTCTGCTGACAGTGAGGAGTTCCTAAACCGTAATCTATAACACTTAACACAAGTCCCTGATGTAGTCGTTGTTCAGTGTCGGCATATGCCATTGCCTTCAGCGCCGTGAGCCCTTTCATGGCTCTAACTTTGACATTGTCTACGTGATTCTTGTATGGCAAACATCTGTCGAAAGTTATGCCAAGGTATCTCATTGTGTTCGTTCTATCAGTCTCTATACCACACATGCTCACGGCTGGCGTAGGTGTATTGACGATGTGGGTATTCAA